ACTTTTTTTTGAGCTTGAGAGTATTGTTATCATTTGTTTTGAATTGTGGAAACTTTTTAGTTTTTTGAATTGTGGAAACTTTTTGTGTTTGATTTAGACTGCTGCCAAACTAAATTTTCCTTTGTTTTGAATTGTGGAAACTTTTTTTTAGCTCGAGAGTATTGTTATCATTTGGGAATAAAGTTTTACTTGATAACTTGCCTTAAGGTATTTGACTTTTTTTGTTTTAGTCTCTATCTATGAATGAATTATCTTGATACAGCTGTTAAAGATAGATTCACAAACTGTTGAAAATCGACAATCACACAAATCGAAAAAACAAAAAGAGAAAGGGAAGAGAGATTGACATAGTGATTTACCCTGGTTCATCCAATGTAGGCTACGTCTAGCTTGTCTATACTATATTCACCTCACCGCCACTCGTTACAAGTCACTCGGTTTATAAGGGAATATAAATAAGATTTAGAAAACCCTAACAACAACTATTCATGGGCTCAAGATCAAACTACTAAGTAAAAGAAAATTACAATATGTCAGAGGCCCACAACAATAGCAGGCCTCTACGGGGTTGGGGGTGCTACCCCCGCACCCCGCCGGGGCGACTCCCCCAACCTCCGCCCGCATCATTATTCGAAGTATGAGCTATACCCAACACAAACTATGTTCAACTTTTACTTTATAAACCAGGTGTGTTATTGGTTATTATTAATGCACAAGTATCAAACCTATCTCATGCTCAATATTCAATACCACAGATACTCCTTGATATGAAAAATTTCCTTTATGTAAAACACCACTAGGGGTACTAATTATAATATGTCCACATCGTCCGAGAGGATTTGTTTACTTCTATTCAATGATGATATGATTCACTTGTTCTTTCTATTCTTTTTCTTTTAACTTTTTTCCCCCCTTTTTTTTTTGTCTCAGTACAATGAAATCTTGGGCAAGGGTGCCTTCAAGGCTGTGTACGATTCTGATGCCTAATCTCTTTTTCCTATTTTTTGTTTTAAATTTTGTTTTCACTCACTATCACTATTTCTTTATATTTTGTTCCTGGTGTTATAGTTGCATTCAGAATTTTACTTGCTACGAAATATTTCTTCAAGAAATTTAGTCTTCAATAATTTTCTGGAGGGTTCTGGTGTTGTTACATGTTAAAGCATGCTATTTAATCTCTTTCTCGTTGGCAGTTATAGGGGATTTGATGGAGTTGATGGAATAGAAGTTGCTTGGAACCAAGTTAGGATTGATGGCCTCTTGCACTCAGTAGATGATCTCGCAAAATTGTATTCTGAAGTTCATATATTGAAGTCTTTGAAACATGAAAATATCATTAAGTTCTATGATTCCTGGATTGATGATAAGCAGAACACTGTTAACATGATTACTGAACTCTTCACATCTGGAAATTTGAGGCAGTATGTTCTCTGTATTTTTACCCTTTCCTTTATACTGTTTGGCTGTAATGTTCACATTTGAAATTGTTGTACACCTTTGGCTTACAGATACCGTAAGAAGCATAAATATGTTGAAATGAAAGCCATAAAAGGTTGGGCCAGGCAGATTCTTCAAGGCTTAGTATATCTTCACAGTCACAAGCCACCTATTATTCATAGAGACTTGAAATGCGATAACATCTTCGTGAATGGAAACCAAGGAGAAGTTAAGATAGGAGACCTTGGTTTGGCAATTGTCATGCAGCAACCAACTGCTCGAAGTGTTATTGGTAATATACTGATTTCCTTAAATGTGAAATTCTTATCATACTCGTCCTTTATGGAGCACTGAACTGAACTATACTTTTGTTTGTCCTTTCTCTATTTTAAAAGGAACTCCGGAGTTTATGGCTCCAGAACTCTACGAAGAGGAATACAATGAACTTGTTGACATCTATTCTTTTGGGATGTGCTTATTGGAGATGGTTACTCTTGAGTATCCCTATAGTGAATGCAAAAATCCAGCTCAAATCTTTAAGAAAGTTACCTCGGTAAGTATAGCAATCATTGGCATATCCTTGTCAGTTGCAGTTGCATGCTCATAATATGAACTACTGCACTCATATCTATCCTATATTGTAATGTATTCCACTGCAGGGTATCAAACCTGCTTCCCTTAATAAGGTGAGTGACCCTCAAATTAAGGAGTTTATTGAGAAATGTCTGGTTCCAGTATCTCAGAGATTGTCTGCCGAGGAGCTTCTTAAAGACCCATTTCTACAAGTTGAGAATCCGAAGGATCCAATGCTTTATTCTTTGCAGTCACCTATGAAAACTCCAAGAGCTTCTAGTTCTCTATCTATGGACTTAGATGCTGACTATAAACAGCTTTCTCTGAGTACCTGTACTGAAAGCAGCCAGGAAAGTCTGCATTTTCCTGTTTTTGAAGTCCAGAGGACAAATAAGAACAATAAGTTTAGGTTGAAAGGGACTAAAAATGATGATAACTCAGTATCATTGACCTTGCGTATTGCTGATACATGCGGTGAGTATATGGTATTTCCTTCCCCTTTTGCCTTCTGCTACTTTATTTTTTCAAGGGGGGGAAGGGGGGAGTAGAGAAGAATATCTGAATTAGTTAGTTTTTGACACGCTTCCCTGTCCCTTGATATTGAGTTGATACTAAAACTGTGTTTGTTGTGTTGTGTTACTTGCAGGTAGAGCGAGGAATATACATTTTCTCTTTTACCTTGATACAGATACTGCAGTGTCTGTGGCCTCAGAGATGGTTGAACATTTGGAGCTGGCAGATCATGATGTAGCCTTTATAGCTGAACTTATTGATTACTTGATAAGGAAACTTTTGCCTTGGTGGAAGCCCTCACCTAATCATTCCTTAAGTGGAGGATCAAGTCTTTGTGGTGGGTCTACAAATGTAGATGGCCAAACCTTAATGGCATATCCATGGGATTCTGTCCTAACTAGTGTTCCCTCTGAATTGCTTATTGGTCAAGATGGCTTCTCTGGGTTTAATAGAACTCCTATAGAAGGTTTTGCGACAGATGGGAAGAGCTGCTTTTGTAAAAATGCTGATAATGCTAATCTTGAGGGTGATTATAATTCTTCTCCCAGTTTGGTTAACTCGGAGGATCGGTGTTCACAAGGATCTGGAGCTTCTGAGATAGTTGTTGAAGATGCTTGTATGAAAAATGACAACTTTCGTGATTCCAATGTTGATGGAAGTTTTAATTGCTCAAGTAGGTCCATCTCTGAAGTTGAGCTTGGGGATGCATATTTTGAGCACTGTAAATTGCAGGCAGCAAATTGCAGTGGTGGCAATGGCATTGTGATAAATGAATTCTCAAAGAACTCAGGGTCAATTTGTGGGACATCTAGTGTTGTGAGCTTGACAAGTAGATGTTCTTCTGTGTCTTCAAATGGAAAAGACATTGATCCTGGGCTTAAGTTTGAACTTGATGCAATCGAGGCACAGTATCAGCATTGGATTGAACAGCTTACTAGAATGAAGTTGGAGGCATTTGAAGCCGCCAGAAGGAAGTGGATGGCCAAGAATTAAGTGGCTGTTCATTGATTTTGAGCTTGTTGATTAACCTCTTTTTACCCTTGTCGAAGTTTTTCGTTGTAAAGTTTGTGATATTAACTGTTTTGTATTTTGGATGAGGCTCTTTTTTGCAGAAGCAAGTGTCCTTACTCCTTACTTTCAACCTATGTTTTAGGCTTAGGAGATATCAAAATTTCTAAGAACACATTTAAGTATTAAACCGACTACATGAAATGAAAATTAAAAGAAAACATGATATTTTAAAATCCAAGTCTGAAAAATGTGATCCACCTTTATCCTTCAAGAAAAATAGTCAAAGAAAAGTGTGAGAGTAACATGTCAATATTGCTTGTGCAATTCTACTTAATAGTCAAACTAAATGGAAGAAGTGGTATGCCGTTATTGAGACTTGAGAGGTGCATTGTCATGATCCATATTCCATACGTATCAAAAAGTAAGAGAAAGAAAATCTCAATTTGTATAAACTAAATTGTAAGGAACTTTTTTTTTAATGTGTTAATGTGAAATTGTGAATTACACAATAGGGTATACTCTTTCTCTTTCTCTGACCTCTCATTCTTTGGTGAAGGCGAGATTTAATGCTAGGTATTTGCACTTAACACCCAAAAAGAAAAAAACTCATCTGTTGAGGTAAGTAGGGAACTAACAAGTAACAACTCCAAAACTAATAGAACTAGAAGAATACATTTGGCATCATTTAGAATTTTCATCTTATATAAACTTATTGTTTATAAAGGGCCAGTTAGTTGGGATTCGCTACCAAAACTCAGCCCCTCTCCCCTCTCTCACAGCCACATTGATTTTATAATATGTATAGATACCTAGAACTAGGCTAAGCATGCACTAATGCACAAACCAACAAGCATACACAACAAAAACCAAAAGGGCAAAGGTAAATTGTTTTACTTTGAATCAAGAAGAATATGGTCATAAAGAATGAAAAAACTAGACTCCTTAATCAATTGATGACATGTTAGTGGAATCTTCCTTTCTATTGGTTCTAGTTTTACATTTTGTTTGTATCTATCTTTTCTCTTCTGTGTGGCTGCCAAAAGGAAGACCTAGCTTTTCAAGCAACACAAAATATTTCTTAAAGAATCGCATCATTTTCTGACCAAACTATTCTAGTTCTTTTTCTAATCCCGTCTTAATCAACCCCTTTTGTTTAAGCAATATTCTTATCCAAGTCTTTTGGAATCTTCTTTCCTCAATCACCCTCCTAGTCATATTCTTTTCTTCAAATTATTTCTCAATGATTGAAGTCACATAGTTTGATTGAGTACATTTCTTGCATTTCATTTAGCCTTAAGACTTTTTGCTACACATTGGACAAATCATGCCCCTTATCACATTCTGACATGTAAAGATTGGCTCCTTGTGTTTAATTACAATTTTATAATTGAACCTTTGACCAAGCTTTTCTTTTACACTTTTTATATATGAGTTAGGAGCTAAGGTGGCAGTTCCAGGTAAATTCATCAATGGTGGATTTGATTGGATCACGGGCATACTGCTGCTTTAAGTGCCAGAACCTTGTTGCTTTCCATGATGATATCGTTTCCAAAGATTTCCAGGTGAACATTTTTCTTGCATTTTTGGCATTAATCTTAAATGGATCATCCATTTGAAACCAATCTTTTGAGTTCAGAATAGGATCATAAAATTCATGTCTTGAGATAACTTGCTGAGCTAAAGATTTAGACTTATACACCCAATATAAAATCATGTTGAAGGTTTTTCAAACAAGGCCCTGAAATTAATTTGATCTATTTCACTTGTCTAAAGAGAATCACTTCAAATTATATGTTAAATTTCATTCAAACTTGTCTGAACCATGGTTTTATAGTTCAAGTTTTTTGTTATCTGTTGCTTATATGAGTTAATAGATGAGTGATAAAGAAATTTCAGGTTCCTTTTTAACCAAGGATCTTCAAGAGTTGTGTTTAACAGGCAAGCAATGGCAGAGCTTTCCTGTTTTCTCACGCCATGAACATTATTTTGGGACCTAAAGAGGATAGGCAACTTATCACTGGTCTTCACACAGTTTCTGATGTATATTGCTGTGACTGTGGAGAGGAACTGGGATGGAAATACATTAAAGCTTATGAGGAAACACAAAAGTACAAAGAAGGAAAAAGTGTACTAGAGAAGTTCAAGATAGTCAGGGGAAATGGGTAGCAACCAGATTTTAGATCCAAGTCATTTGATCCTCAATTGTTCATAGGGGAATTCCACAGGTTCAAGGGTGGGATAATTGTGAGTTTCTGCAAAGGCTTATTAATCAGGAAAAACAAAAAAAGGGTTCGTTGAAAAAACATGATTTTTAGTCACTCAAAAGTTTTTCCAAAATAAAATAAGTTGTTAAATGATATCTACCCCTAATGTGAATAGTTAAATGGTCCTTGTTCATATTGTACAAAAGATTATTTTCTAGAAAATTATATAAGATTATTTATTGGCCTTGTACATAAAGCTTGGCAAATAGCATAGGCCTTGTTGTTTTACACTTTTGCAGCCAAAATGACTATTTAGACTTATCTTTGAGAACATCATTCATGTAAAACTAAAATTTGGTTTGGTTTTTTCAAAAAAAAAATATGGTTTGGTAGAAAAATTGACATATTGCATCTCTCAATTAAGCAGATAGAACCCACATATATTGCTATGTCCCACATTGATAACTGGATGTCCTGTCAGAAACACGTGATCTTCGTAATTCTTTCATTTATTGTCATTAAAAAAAAAGTGATTGAATGGCACGCCTTTTGCAGTTTCAGAATCTACGGGTTTTTGACCCAACAAATGTGAATTTTAAAAAAATTCACTGTCATTGATTAAATGTTTTATCGAATTAATGTAGAAAGATATCTTTCAGGTGGCTATGCGTTTCAGTCGCACACTTGATATATACGCGTTTCTGACAATTCTAAACACGTATGTATCATGTGGGCGTTTTTGACAAGTCTGACCAGCACAATATCAAGATGCATCATGTTTAAGCACGTGTTCTGTGGCATAGTCACATCACAGTCAGAAACGCGCATGTGTCAAATATGTGACTAAACACATAGCCATCTAAAACACGTCTTCCTTTATTAATCTGATAAAATATTTGATCAGCGAATTAAATAAATAATTTTTTTAAAATTCACATTTGTTAGGTCAAAAACCCAGAATCTACTAATTCAAAATTCAAGCTGTTAGGTGCTTACACAGAAATGGCTTTTATGTTAACTGACAAACTGTGTTGTCAGCTTAAGCTTGTGCATGACAAGTCAATAGTTGCATAAACCAGAAGTTGTCAGAGTCTGTTCTTTTCAACATTTCACTTCAACTAAGGACAAATCTTTACTGCATCCTATGTATTTAATTGAGTATATCTTTTTTTCATATTTTAAAAAAAAAAGTATCACTTTTAAAAAAAATAAAAATTTCCGCCACTTTAATTTTTTTTTTTTACTTTTGAAAAAAAAATGTACTCAATTAAATACATATGATATATCAAAGTTTTGCCCCCAATTTAGGGGTATGCAAAACTCCAGCAGCATTTATTTGAAGCAAACACGCATTCACAAAACTAAATAATAGTAGAAAAAGAAGGAAACAACATTTTTTAATATCTCTGTAATCATCTTGATCTCCAATAAGGTAAGCCAATTGAATAGCATACACAACAAAAAGCACATATATATTTTGATTATTCAATTTTCCGGTTCTCATTCAAAAATTTTGAACAATAACAACAACAATCAAGGGCTATCCCACTAGGAGTCTAGGATCAACTACGTGAATTAAACAATATTATTAGGCTTTATCAAATTGTGAACATTTTTTGTTTTTCATTTATTATGCGATATTCGTTATAGTTTTTCGAAGCTATATATTGGTTAATAGTCTAAAGCTGATCCACATAAGACAAGAGCTGTATTCAGTTAATAGAGATCAGCATTTGCAAGTATTCCAATATTAACATTTGCTTTAAGAGGGGATTAATCTCATGGATTTGTGTGACGAAAGTTATTCTTCAATAAGAGTCAAAGAAAGAACATGTGTCTGAGTTTCAAACAACATATCTCTTACTTTATGCTGTATGTTTTATATATCTATTAATAATTGTAATCAATAATCAGTGTTCTGATTCTGCTTGCCATGTTCCAATGTTACTGTATTTATTCTGACATGTTTAAGTTAACAAGTGAATATTTGGCTTTGAGCATTTTCTTTATTAAACAGACACTGTTGGTTGTCAATGATACCATTGCATTGAATGTAGAGACAGTGTCCCCTATTTTTAAGCAGCTTAACAGAGCACTCAAATATATACACATTGGATTTCCAAAAAAATAAAAATAGAGACATTTTGTTGTATAAATAGTCATATTTGGCTGTTTGTTTGCTAATAGTTATGCTTCTTTATTTTTGAATAGTCGCGCCTTTTCATTTCGTTTTCGAACACTCGTATCTCTTTGTTTTTTAATAGTTGTATCTGTTTGGCTGTGATCGTTTATCTCCTGTATATATAAGTGTCAAGTGAATTTAAATAACTAATTTTTCTGACTCTTTATCGAAACTCTGCCAAGATTAATCTTCACATATTGTCTTTGTCTGCGATTGAAAAGTGTTCCTTGCGATTGTCAGTGTTGTTTCTTTTGATTGTGCCATATTGAAACAAAGGTAATTTATTTTATTCTAGGAGGTATTTATCTACAAATCTTAAGGGACAAAATTGGCTTAAGAGCACATTATTCAATACTGGACTTGGATTTAATTTTTTGTAATATTTATGCCCTACATATTGCATTCTAATTTTTTGTAATTGCATTCTATTCTATGTAATTTTATGTTTTCACTGATATTACCATAACTAACAACACAAGATTTTTGAACTATCACTAATAACATTTTATCACGTAAATCAATTGACATGGGTTATTCCGGCTTAATTAATAATCTTGAATTTGAGATCTGAGTATAATGCAAGTGTGTTAAAAACTTACCCGACTTAAGACCAGATTAGTCGATTAACGAATGAAGTGACCAAAAAATCTCAATATATATGCACACATTTTCCCCTCACATATTCACGTACATCCATCCATCACCATTCATGTAAAAGGTATTTCCCTTCTCAATAATTATGAAACGCTTTATGTTTGACTTAGGCACTGAAAAATGATTCCATGTCGGCACGATTCCACAAGCTTGGATTGGAGTATCCTCCACCTTTTTAGGTTTCGATATCAATTAAATTCTAGCCATTCATCTCTTATCTTGATTTTTTTTGTCTGTGTGATAAAGATAAAAGCAATATAGTGAATAAGAAATTTTTGTCTTTTTAGAGGACATTATTCGCTAAAGTTGGAATTGGCTAAGGACCAAATCAGAAGCATTATTCTCATGCTCAAATTCAAGACTTCTTGTTCAGTTTGCATGATTGTAGATTTGTAGTATTCGACTCATCACATGGTTAGAAACATTTCTTGGTTTTGTAACGTGTCTTTGTCAATCATTCAGTAAACATCGAATAAATTTGGAAGTTACCTTAAACAACTTGAGCAATATTTTTTACAAAAATTTATACAAATCCAACCTTTCCACCTCCCATATTTTCTTATGTAGAAATAAAAAAGAAGAAACATAAAAGTAACCAAAGTTTAATACCAGCGTTAAGATATGATTTACTATTTTATAAAAGAAATAACAAAAAAAAAAAAGCATTGTGATTAAGAATGAGGCCCCATATGAAAAGGATGCAACCTTTGTCTGGTTTAACAAGAAATAAATTATTATGCCACTTGGCGCATATATATATATATATATATATATATATAAGGATTTGCATTCATCATTTAACATGACAAGAAAAAGTTTCCTACACACAACATCTCGTGGGGCTCGCATTTTTTAGGGCAAAAAAAAAAAAAACTACGGCACACAAAACGAATCTCTATAACATAACACAATCACTTTTTTACAACGTAACTCTTATAAAACCCACACACACACATATATATATATATATATATATATAAAGAATATCAAATTTTCGTAGATAGAAAGAGAAGAGGAAGCTTCATGGAAGCCAAACTCTCGAATAGTACCTATCAATGAAGATCACATCTTAACCAGAATATCCCCCGTTTCCTCCAAAGGCACCTTCCTAGAACCATCACAAATAGATGGATATATATTAAACCAATGAAAATGAAAAATAAAAATGAAAATCAATGGCACAGGGCAACATCAACTTCTGGCAATGCCGTTTTCTCCCAGATTCCCTAAAGTCTTTTGACTTGGTACAATTCCCACCTCTCAAATCCTGCTTAAATACTAATTTAGCCTCAAATCTTCTTTTGTGAACCTCATGAGTCGTGACAACAGCCTCATTTTCTTTTATGCACACTTTTTTTTTTTTTTTTAACAAACTCAAAAGCTGTACCTTATTATATTTCATGGATAGAACCTACCCTATGTGTATATTGTGTAAAGTCATAAACCTATGCATAAAAGTGGTGTGACTAAAAAGCAAAAAACTTAACATCTCTATAAAAGGCCATTTTCCTAACGAATTTTCATTCAGTCATTGTTGCTATATAACATACAAGTCTTCCAAAGTTGCTTTCTGGTTCCACCTTTCTTTCCATGGTCCACAACTAGAAAGAAAAAGGAAAGTTACTTTACAATGGAAAGCAACCAGAACAACATGAAGGAAACCACCACGGAAGCAGAATTTGAGGACTTGCTGCCTGTGATGGCAGAGAAGCTTGATGTGGAAGCCTTTGTATCTGAACTATGTGGGGGTTTCAAGCTTCTAGCAGACTCAGAAATAGGTTTGATCACAAGTGAGAGTCTGAGGAGAAACTCAGCTTTGTTGGGTATGGATGGGATGAGTAAGGAGGATGCAGATGCTATGGTTAAACAAGGTGATCTTGATGGTGATGGCAAGCTAAATGAAACTGAATTTTGCATCTTAATGGTGAGGCTTAGCCCTGGAATGATGGAAGATGCTGAGGCTTGGCTGGAGAAGGCAATTGAGGAAGAGCTTAAGAAATCCTTAACTTGAAAGATTACCCTTGTGTAATCAATTGTAAGTTACATATATATATATTTATCAGTTTAAGTTGCAAAAATTGATGAAACTCAAACTTGTGTGATTATTAATATAATGAGTCTCTTAAGTGAAGCATAGATGAGTTTGATACAAGAATTAAATGAGTCTTTTGATAGTTTCATCTTTCATCAGACAAACGTAAATTAAATTAGTCTTTTCCTAAAACCAAAAGTTATAAGGATAATCTATGCAAAACAGAAAGACCATCCGGAGGAAATTGAATTGATAATTTCAATGTAAAAGCTGCGACATCAGTCTGAAAGAGCATGTAATTGTGTTGACTTTCAGCTACAAATTCAGTTACTGTTCTGATGGATCAAAGGAATGATGGATGGCTTTTGTTCTTAACAGCAAACATCATTATTATCTTATCATTATTATATCTTGAAAAATGATGTTATTATCATTTATCAACTCTCAAATATTTGTAGGAAAACACTCAACAACCAGAATTCTTTTGCCAAAAAACTTGTTATTTAATTAGAGAGATGTTATACTTATTTCCTTGAAAATTCTTATAATCACTTTTATAGTTATTGGATCAAAATCAAATCAACAACTGTTAAAAATGAGAACCATTAATTTAATTTTGATTCAACAACCATAAAAATGATTGTAAGAAAAAATATGTTATAAATATAATGTCTCCCATTTAATTGTACCAGTAATTCTTCCTCACAAATTTTGATTGACAGTCAAAATTTTCAGGCTGTGGCATTCCTCATATTTTTAACACCAACCAAGTTGTAACTAATTTGATCACCATTCATGCTTTACGCCAAAACTTTGTTATATCCAATGTTAGGTAAATAATGAAACTTGGAACTTTCCAGGCTAATCCTTTTGGCATGTACTATCCTTATAAACCTGAGTCATAACAAAAATTCGCACACAAAGCATCCTCTACGCCCATATACGCCAAGAAATTTTATCTTGAGTGGGTAAAGCACAGAAACGTTAGAATCTTATCTTCCCATAACAATTAAACATTTCTCAGTACAAACGAGGTCTATGCAACAAGCAATAAACACCAGTGTTTTTTTTTTAGTACAAAAAATGTTTTAAAAGGGAAGGTTATCGATTTTAAAATGAGGTCATGCCACAATTTTTTTTTTTTAAAAAAAAAACTGAATAAAAAATGTTTGCATGATCTTATCGTATGAGGAGCTAAAAACATATAATAACTAATTAAATAATTATAAGTGTCCCACTTTGGTGCCTATATCTTTATTCACGTCACCATGTCATGTCAAGTGAGGATCCACTCTTCCTCCACTCAACCAAATCCTCCAATCCTAACATTACTATGTGTCGCATCCACTATCCAACAACCGTTTAAACTAACTTTTAAAGGAGAAGCAAAGATTTACCCTGAGATAATTGGCGATGAATGTCGTTCCAACAAACAGGGCGTTGTATGTTTCACATTATCTCATGAAGAAAGTAACAATACTCAGCACAAACTATATGTAAAATAGATGCAGTGTTTGAACATTAAAATGTTATAATGAAACCAAAAAATTATCCGGTAACTTGCATGAGACATGTAGGAAGGGTGCAAGTGTAAATTTATATTAGAATCATTATCTTATTTTTTTGACTTAGTTGTGGCTAAGAATGTTTGTAATCGACGAACCAAATATGTAGTTCAAAAAAAGAGGTATTGAAGATGCTTGGTACTGAACCAATGCTCGAGCAGTATCAAATGATAAAAATCAGACAGTCAGTTCCGCATACAATCCCTGACTAGGAGTAACATTTTGAAGCATAGAGCATCATCACTTTCTGTCCATTGATATATGCCATTCCAGGTATATAACACTTTTTTCAAGGGAAAAGTCTTTCTCCTGCACGAGATAACTTTATCTCCTAATACAGGAGAAACATTAATCCTTTTTTTAAACCTACTTATGCTTGCATATTCACTGGAAAGAGCACATTAAATCACAGTAGAACATTAATTTTTAGTCATAGCAAAACACATGATGTCCCTGCAAAAATATGCATCAATAAGTCTTGACTCTAAACAGGTTATATTCAGGTCCTATAAGCACAATTTGCACTGACCACTAAACAGCAAAAGATCCAAAACCAAACCAAACCACATTAACTGTGAGAAGCACCAATTAATACATGAAGTGCCACTAGCTATTGTAACACCCAGAAAGTAATGAGGTACCCCTGGAGCCTGCTTCTTACCCCAAAACCAGAAATCACTTTAAGTTCTTGACCTTCGTACCGGGGAACGGCTGTAGATAAATAACAGAATAAATAAGCTCTGAAAGAAAAAAATAATAATACAATTGCAGAAGATAATTAATGAAATTGACTATGAAGAAATACCTGCGATATCTACCATAATCAGGGCTCCTAGGCCTGCTATAATCAGGGCTCCTAGGCCTGCCATAATCAGGACTCCTGTGCCTGCCATAATCAGGACTCCTCCGCCTATCTGGTCCATTATACCTATCATACACAGGGCTGTGTGGACGACCATAGTCAGGACTTGATCGCCTGCGATAAACTGGGCTGGGAGATCTCCCATAACCCCCTCTTCTAGGACTGTCAGAATTATCACCCCTCTCACCATCATCCCTCAGAGCATACTCCACAGACACTACCCTGTCCAGTATTTTACTGCAAGTGCAATGAGACCAGAGATTCATTATTTGTACATAGTAAAATAAGAAACCTGAAAGAATTTAACCAAAAATATATTATAATCTCATCACTGACCTCATATTTGTACACTCAAGAGCTTTAGTAGCATCTTCTTGAGTTTCAAACTGCACAAATGCAAAGTTCCGACGAATTCGAACATGCAAAACCTTCCCATAAGGTTCAAAATGTTTTTCCATATCACGAACTCTAGTACGAATTGGGTCAAAGTTAATAACAAATAAGGTTTTCGTGGGCTTCTGGTTTGCCTTTGAGCCATCGCGATGGCGTCCACGTTCACCCTGCCAAAATGGAACAAACCAGAAAGATCTTATTAACTCAGGCAGAACATTGTTTTATACTCATGATCTCATCAATAAGTACACAAAACTAAAATATGATTATGCAACCATACCCTAGCCCACTCCACAGACAACCTTCGCTTGTCGTAACCAAATGGAAAATTGTCAAGTGCACGGATTGCTTCTTCAGCATCACGCTCATCCTCATAATAGACAAAAGCAAAACCTGCAACAGAACTAGCATTAGAGGCACATATGATGATGAAAGACATTAACATGCTATCCCTCACCAGAAGTACATCAGCCAAATCAGGAAATCATTTTCCCGGTCAGGAACTAAGGAATACAACACCTGGATATAAGTGAGGGCTGATGCACAAGAAGCTGTAGAGACGTTGAATGAGGAACAAAATCATGATTGCAATTAAAGGTTTAATTCCAAAATTCAGGTCTGAGATTGTCATTGCCAAGCATGCTTCTCCATTCAGACAGCACAAGTGATTTCAGAAATAGAATGGCATGACTTGACAGAAATTCATTGATCCCCTATTTTCAGTGAAGCTAGGCATGGCTTATTAAATTGATTGATGATCCCACTAAGAACATTCTGGTGGAAATGTCAATGTTGGGTGATGAGGTAAGTGAGTGTCGAATGATCAGATGAGAAAATGCAGATCTGTGGATAGAAGGAGAGGTTTCCTTCCAAAAAAAGGTTGGCAAGCCAAGACAGAAGCTCAGCATATTTTCCCTTAGTAGAAGTTCCTGCGTCAAAAGAAACACTTAAAAACCAGAGGATTTTTTTCTTAGAGATTTCAATTTTGTGGCTTCCATTTATTTTTCCACCAGGAAATAGGAACTAGACATTCAAGCCACAAAAGCAGCCATATGTCCGTATCCAAATTCCAAAATATGGCCTTCGCAATATCCTGGTTTTCAGTAGCTGTTAGATGAACATCATTCTTATACAACTACAAATCATTGTTTCCTTATGACTTACTCATAGGACCCATGAAACTGGTTTGACAACTGATCATTCAACAAGCCAAAGGGAAAAGGAAAGGAGATCCAAAATGTGTGATGACAAGGCAGGGTTTGTCATACAAAATAAAATAAAATCAACACTCAATAAATTTAATTAAAAAAATGAAATTTCATAATAATTGATGAAACCAATAAGCAGAATGCCCCATTATAACCAGAAAATCAAACAAAGAAGGACTGAGCTAGAAGGTTCAAACTTCACTTCACCAGGACAGAGAAACTAATAAAATTAAACAGTTAAATTCCCATTAAGATTCTCTGATTTCATATTAGAAAGCAAAAGCATTTTACCAGATTTCATGTCCACGCGGTCAATCCTGCCATACTTGGAGAACAAACGTTCAAGCTCTGATTGACGGGTATCATACTCCAAGTTTCCAGCAAATACAGGCCTCATCTTCTTCCCTCAAATCGCCTTCAAATTCAAACTTTTTTCACACACTGCAACCAAATATCATGCCAAGAAAAAAAAAACTCAAAAAAAAAAAAAGAAGCTCAACAAATACTACAAGGTAAAAATTACGACCCCAAAACAAACAATGCCCTAATCATAAGATCCCACACAAGCAGGGTTTGACAAAATCAAGGAGGAGAATCGAATAAATTTTACACCTTTGTTTCTTTACCCCGAAACCCTAAAAGTGATGGTTGATGGAAGGAAGAGAGAAAACGTACCCGCAATGAAAAACAGCTTTGATTTTTTTTGGGTTCCCAGAAGTGCTTGGGTTTTGGAATTAGAATCAGAGAGTAAATTTAAATCTAGGGTATTGTTTAATTCCATTTCCATATGAGTCCAAAACAAAAAAAGGCCCTAATTTTGGTGTATAACAAAAAGCCCTAATATTGGGTTGTTCTTGCACTTGGTTGGCCCATCCAATAAGCCCATGGTCTGTGGCCTGCCCATTCAGTTCATTTTACCTGCGCCTAGGGCTGGCAATATGGGCCAGCCCGCCCCGGCCCGTTTTGATAAAATGGGTTGAATTGAGTAACCCGGCTCGTTTTATGAGTGGGCTGGCGGGCTACGGGCCAGCCCGCCTAAAATAAAAAAAATATAAAAATAAAATACAAAAAATTAAATTCTGCATAAAATCACATAAAAAAATCTGCATAAAAGCATACAAAAATCTGTATAAAATCCTAATGTGCTTATGAAACCAAGAAGATCAGTGTTTAATAATCTGCATATAAATATGCATCTTTCAATCCAAAAATAATAATAAAAAAATAAAATCATATCAGGATAAAATAGAATAACAAAACAAGTAACAAAGTGTTGTATGAGCAGTCCACAACAATTCAAAAAAGCCACTTGCAAGCAGAGAAATCTAAGATACGGAGCTACATAACAATTGAGTAACCTAAAAAAAAAAAGACTTGGCGGGCTAGCCCGCCCCGTGGCGGGCTGACCCATATGGGCTGGCGGGTTTGGCGGGCTGGTGGGTTGAAAGACTCAACCCAGCCCGCCCCATTTGGCAGGCGGGGCGGGCCAGCCCGGCGGGCTCAGCCCATTTTGCCGGCCCTACCTGCGCCCTACCACCCATCTAAGTTTTTTTTTTTTTTTTTTGAACACTAAGTTTCTCAATGATAAATTGCATTTTATAAACTTATTGTGTACTTTTATATATAAAGTATGATTTTATATATATATATATATATATATATATATATATATAAAGCTTATCGTTTCTTAAGCTGCTTGAGACAACATTATCTCCGGCCACTAAATTATAATGGTACAAAAATGGATCAACGATAATAAAGAAAGAGAGAAAAAAAGGGAATCATAACCATTCATAGGTGAATCAATTAATATAAAGAAATAAATAAACAAAACGACGTAGTTTTGGATGGCCGAAGATAAACTTATCTCAAGCAGCTTGAAAAACGATATATATATAGAGGTAGGATCCTTTGACACCGGTGTCAAATTTCAATTTTGACACCTCATCTGAGAGTCGTTAGATCAAAAAAGATGAACGACTCTGATTTGCAAGCATGTGACACCATTGATCTTTTTTATCTAACGGCTCTCACTCAGATGAGGTGTCAAAATTGAAATTTGACATCGGTGTCAAAGGATCCTACCTCATATATATATATATATATATATATATATATATATATATCGTTTCTCAAGCTGCTTGAGATAATTTTATCTCTGGCTACTAAATCATAACCGTACAAAGATGGATAAATGGTGATAAAGGAAGAAAGAGAAAAAGGAAATCATAATCATTCAAAGGTGAATCAATTAATATAAGGAAATAAATAAATAAAACGACGTAGTTTTGGGGTAGCCAAAGATAAACTTACCTCAAGCTAGCTGTTTGAGAAATGTTTTTCCCATATATATATATATATATATATATATATATAGGGAAAAATTACTCTTATGCCACATGTGATAAATTTCTCTCCTACACACCCTTCGATAACTGTGCCACCTTTTTCTTTTCTTTACTTTTTATTTTTTCAGGTAGTGGAGCCTACAAATTTATCTCTATGACATGAGATAACGTATCTCCTTTAACATGAGATTAATAAAACTCATATATATATATATATATATATATATATATATATGGGAAAAGTGTTTGTCATTTTAAATGACAGAAAGTTATGTCATTTTAAGAAAGATACAGACACAGAAAATTTGAATTTTAAATTAAAAAAACCACTCACTTTCTCTCTCCCATGATTTCCGTTTTTGTGTGTCTATCTCTCTCCTAAAATGACATAACTTATGTCATTTAAAATGACAAACACCAAATCCATATATATATATATATATATGGGTAATGTTTTCCTCCTTTTACATGACACAAGCAATCTTCCTACACAAACATAAAAGTGGGCCCATCAATTCTTTTACTTTTCTTTTATTTTAAAAATAGTGGACCCCACAATATCTTGTCTCTATGACATGACCTAAGAACTTTCCTACAACATAATATTAGTTTTTCCCTATATATATATATAAAAGTTTTTTGTTTTTTTTTAGTAAACACCTTTTTTAGTCCCTGTCAATATCTACGAAGTCCTTCTTAGTCCATGACAATAAAAAAGACCAAATTGGTCTCTGAAATTACAAAAAAGGGTCATGTTAGTCCTTATGTCAACTCCCAAATATGTAGAGTGGCCCTTTTCTTGTACTTTCAGGGATCAATTTGATCCTTTTTTATTGCCAGGGACTGAAAAGGACTTCGTAAATATTACCAGGGACTAAAAAGGATATTTACTATTTTTTTTTTTTTTTTTTAAGATGACTTGATGACTGATTCATTTGTTTATTCTGGTGAAAGTCAGATAAAGATAGTTATAGAAAAGGTACAAGTGGAAGTTACCTGGAAGCTGCCACAGGTGAGAAAGTTAGCGTAAGACAAATATTATATTATATTAATATCATATTTTGGTATGGCTTAACAAATTTAATGATGATACATAGAAAGAAAAAAGGAAAGAGTTAATTAAAAATAAAAAGAAAAGAAGAAGTGGGCATTATTAGGTCCCATTCAGGTTTAATAAATGAAGGAGAATCCCAAGACAGTGTCCCCCAAAGTTAAGTGTTGAAAAGTTGTTTGGTGTTGCATGTTTACAATAACACAACTCCTTGTTGCACAACACAAGATATCATAATTATGACATTAACACATGGTCTAACGTGCTAATACTCATGTCTTAAAGGATAAGAGATAATGATACTAACATAAAAAAATTTGAATTCACGTTTCAAGCTATTTCCACTATTGTTGGGATAATGAACTTGTCATTAATTTAATTTTCTTCTGCTATGTGATTAAATGAGTTCAATACTTTTTATGACAAAAACATTAAGGAAAACATTGAATCAATCAATTTCGTAAAAGCAGATATTAATAGTATGAGTTTGACAAGCGACTAAATGAGTTTAATACAGGTTTGCTGTGGGCTTGCATTGCGTGTTGAAATTAGGTGAGAATGAAAATAAAGTAACCACGTACCTGTTTTACACTGGAATGAAAATTAACAATCAGTGTTTCGAGAATATATATATATATACGAGAAAAACATTTCTGCAGCCACTTAGATAAGGTTGTCTACAACTACTCCTTTTTAACTAAGTACGATCGGTCGTTCATTAAAAATGCATTTTCTCTCTCCACCACGTCAGCCGACAGTGTTTGAGTAGAGAGAAAAAAAGAGCAGTTTTATTGTTATAACTAAGTACGACCGGTCGTACTTAGTTAAAAATGGGTAGCTGTAGATAATCTTATCTAAAGTGGTTATAGAAATACTTTTTCCTATATATATATAGGGGTTATCATTTCTCAAGCTGCCGGAGATAACTTTATCTCCTGCTACTAAATCATAATCATACAAAGATGGATCAATGGTGATAAAGGAAGAGAGAGAAAAAGAGAATCGTAACCATTCAAAGGTGAATCAATTAATATAAGAAATAAATAAACAAAACGGCGTCGTTTTGGAGTGGCTGGAGATAAACTTATCTCAAGTTGCCATAGAAATATTTTTTTCATATATATATATATATATATATATATACGAGGTAGGTTCATTTGACACAAGTGCCAAATTTGAAGTTTGACATCTCATCTGAGAGCCGTTAGATTAAAAAAAATCTACTACTCTGATCGGTAAGAATGTGAAGTGAATATAATAAATCTTATATCAAATCTTGATTATTAATTTATTTATATCTAATTGCTCACATATCTAACAAATATTCAAGGACGTTGATATAAATATAATTAATAAATAAGTTTGAGAGTATAACTTAGATCGGTATAAAATTAATCTTTATTTAACAATAAATATTTTGAAAAAATAAAAATAAAAAGTTTTACTTTTATACCTAAATAAACAACAATGAATAAACATTGAAATCACTTAATATATAAATATTTTTGGTTAAAAGTTGTTATGACTGATTATAGTCAATTAGATACACATTTTTCAGATAACAAAAAAACACACACACATTTTTCATGGAAAGGGATCCCATATTATTATGATTGACTCTAACAAATATTCCTTTTTAACGCTTACTCACCCAAAATTATATATATTGAAAAACAAATTCTCAAAATAGAACAATAAAACAAGAGAGATGTTGTATTTATTATCTCTTTTTCTTACTCCCTCTTACTACCAAATTTTAACTGTTGATTTTCGTCAATCTAATAGTTATAATTTATTGAAAATTGATAATTAATTAATAACTATGACCCAATAAATTACAACTATTATATTGACGAAAATCAATAGTTAAAATTTAATAGTAAAAAGTAATAAAAAAAAAAAGATAATAACTATAACCTCGCCGTAAAACAAAACCATTGTTTAGTTGTTTTTGGCTTCTCATTATCCGCAGCCACGGCATAAACCAACTTTCTTCCACCCTATTCATAATTTGATGCTACTGTTCTTTTTTAATATTTTTTTAATGATAGTTTTGTTCGTTGAACTTTCCATTATTATCATTCATTATAATATCTTTGACGAATCTGAAAGCAACAAAGCTGTTTGCTTGTATTCTATGAAAAATATCTATGCATAAAAAAAAAGTGTTACATGAAAAATACAGTATATAAACAAATTTCAAAATGTGTAACGTTACCGCTAATAAAATAAATACAGCAAAAGTCAAAAGCAGAAGAAAGTGGGGTTGTGCAGTTCCTTCCAACTCACACACACCCCTCCTTTAGAAAATTCTAAAGTAACTGACTGGACTAAGAGCACTATAGTGGTTTATAATATTTTATGTTGGAAAGAAGAAGAAGAAGAATTTTGAAAGCATCAGATTCAGATTCGAGGGAGTTTCCTAACCCCACAACAACACTGAACAACACAATTTTTATTTTCTAAAGTAGTTCAAAGACAAGACTAGTACTAGTCTTCAGTCTTCACAAGTTCCATTTCTTGAATAAAGGGTTTCCTTCAACAGCATCTGTGGAAAAATTCTCGGCCTTAGCCTTTGCTTGGTTTCCAAGCTAACAGACTTCAACGTTGTCTGCTTCTTCAAATGGTACAAATTTTGTTCCTTTCATGTGTATTACACAACCCCAAGTCTTGCTTTATCATGCACTTTATGCTCTGTGTGTGTGAGAGAGATAGAGAGAGCGGTTGAGGTAAGCATTTTGGTTTTGCCTTGACTTGATGTCCTCATAATAAGATGATGTTTTTGATTTATGATAATATATCCTCGTTCCTTTATCTTCTGCAATTGCTTTTGTTCGTTTATTTCATCCTGAAAAAACAGAAAAATGTTTTTTTGTCAGAAAACATTGTTTTTTCTTTCTTTCTTTCTTGTAATATGTGCTTCTTTGAGATTATCTATAAGTGTTTTTGATCGGTTTACAGGATTAGTTGTATGTCTGTGAATTGTAGCACCATGTTATTTATTTATTTTTTTTAATTTTCAGTGGTGAATTTTAACACGAACATGAAAGTTCCAATGGAGGAAAAACCATTCCCTGCATGGTCATGGTCCGTTGAGCAGTGCTTGAAAGAGTATGGTGTGAAATTGGACAAGGGTCTGAGTTCTTATGAGGTTGAGAAGAGGCGTGAGAAATATGGTTGGAATGAGTTAGCAAAAGAGAAGGGAAAGCCCTTGTGGGAACTAGTATTAGAACAATTTGATGACATGCTGGTGAAGATACTTTTGGCTGCAGCATTCATATCATTTCTTTTGGCTTACTTTCATGGAAGTGAATCTGGGGACTCAGGATTTGAAGCTTATGTGGAGCCACTTGTGATCATTTTGATTTTAGTCCTTAATGCTATTGTTGGAGTTTGGCAAGAGAATAATGCTGAAAAGGCTCTTGAAGCTCTTAAGGAGTTGCAATGTGAATCTGGAAAAGTGTTAAGGGATGGTTCTCTTGTGCCTAATTTGCCTGCACGAGAGCTTGTTCCCGGTGATATTGTGGAGTTGCGTGTTGGAGATAAAGTCCCTGCTGACATGAGAGTTGCAGCTTTGAAAACCTCAACTTTGCGAGTTGAGCAAAGCTCATTAACTGGAGAAGCAAATCCTGTTCTCAAAGGCACCAATCCTATTTTCTTGGATGACTGTGAGTTGCAGGCAAAAGAAAACATGGTTTTTGCAGGCACCACTGTTGTCAATGGAAACTGTCTTTGTATTGTTATCACCACAGGAATGAACACTGAAATTGGAAAGATACAGAAGCAAATACATGAGGCTTCTTTGGAGGACAGTGATACTCCCTTGAAGAAGAAGCTGGACGAATTTGGTGGCAGGCTTACCACTGCAATTGGGCTAGTTTGCCTTATTGTTTGGGTCATAAACTACAAAAATTTCATTTCTTGGGATGTTGTGGATGGATGGCCCTCAAACATCCAATTTTCTTTTCAAAAGTGCACCTACTATTTCAAAATTGCTGTTGCACTTGCTGTAGCTGCAATCCCAGAAGGTCTTCCTGCTGTTATCACAACTTGTTTAGCACTCGGTACAAGGAAAATGGCTCAAAAGAATGCAATTGTGAGAAAGCTTCCAAGTGTAGAAACTTTGGGATGTACAACTGTGATATGTTCAGATAAAACTGGTACTTTGACAACAAATCAAATGTCTGTGACAGAGTTCTTTACTTTGGGTGGGAAAACCACTGCTTCCAGAGTCATTAGTGTTGAAGGAACAACTTATGATCCCAAGGATGGTGTCATTATTGATTGGACTTGCTATAACATGGATGCCAACTTGCTAGTCATGGCAGAAATATGTGCTGTTTGTAATGATGCTGGGATTTATTTTGATGGTCGCCTTTTTCGAGCTACAGGTTTGCCTACTGAAGCTGCTCTCAAAGTTTTGGTTGAAAAGATGGGAGCTCCTGATATGAAGTCAAAGAACAAAATTCGGGATACACAACTTGCTTCAAACAACAACACTGTGATGTTAGGTCAGCAAATGCATACTATGGAAGATAAATAACTTGTCAAATTGCCACTAACAAAGTACTATTTAATTTTTGTTGTGCAGGCTGTTGTGAGTGGTGGAATAGAAGATCCAAAAGGGTAGCTACATTGGAGTTTGATCGCATTCGGAAGTCAATGAGTGTTATTGTTCGTGAACCAAGTGGACAAAATCGGCTTCTTGTCAAGGTGACTTGCTCTGATACTTTATCACCAGATTGACTTTTACCAAATAGAAATGTTCAATCAATTGTTATAATAAGCATATTATACATCTTTAAAGACCACTACTTTCTTTGCATGCTGTTATTTTTGTTCAGTTCTTGAGCTCACATTTTTCACTAACATTTTTTTGGCTTTAGGTATGTCTAACTGATTCTTAATTTATACGGTATGTTTAAATTGGTGGAAAGATTATCTGGGTACTTTATTTTTTTGGTTGTGCTGTTGATGGTAAAATAACTGCTTCAGTTTTTTTGGTTTCCCAATTCTGGATGCATTTTAAATGTAAAATGAAAGTTTTTTTATATTCTATTATTCGTAAACTCTGAACTCTTTTTACGCCAGATTTCATCTACTGCTGCTTTTTAAGTTCTAAAGTAGTTGAATCACAGGGTGCTGTTGAGAGCTTACTGGAGCGTAGTTCACATGTGCAACTTGCTGATGGATCCCTGGTTCCAATAGATGATCAATGTAGGGAACTACTTCTTCAAAGACTCTTGGAGATGAGTTCAAAGGGATTGCGTTGCTTAGGTTTGGCTTATAAGGATGACTTGGGAGAATTTTCAGACTATTATGCTGATACTCATCCTGCCCACAAGAAATTGCTTGATCCAACATGCTACTCATCCATTGAAAGTGATCTAGTGTTTGTTGGTGTTGTTGGCTTAAGAGTAAGTTTGTCCCATACCTTTAGCTTTACCTATCAATCAATCAATATTCTGTCATGTAACTTTTTGAGGATATTTATTTATTTAGTTCATGATTCTTCTGATCAGGACCCTCCCCGTGAGGAAGTTCATAAAGCAATTGAGGATTGTAAGGAAGCTGGTATTAGAGTTATGGTAATAACTGGAGATAATAAGTCAACAGCAGAGGCTATTTGTAGGGAAATCAAATTGTTCTCTAGAGATGAGGATCTTACAGGCCAAAGTATGACAGGTAAGCAATTCCTATCTCTTTCTCCTTCAGAACAAGTTAAAACATTGTTGAGACCTGGAGGCAAAGTTTTCTCTCGAGCTGAGCCTAGACACAAGCAAGAAATTGTGAGGCTACTAAAGGAAATAGGGGAGATTGTTGCAATGACTGGTGATGGTGTAAATGATGCACCTGCACTTAAGCTTGCTGACATAGGGATTGCTATGGGTATAACTGGAACAGAGGTAACCTGGCTTTTGTTGTAGTGTGGTGTAACTTTATCTTATGTCATATCATAAACCTTCCAATTATGTTAGTGTTATCATAAACTTAATAAGTTGAGATGTATATTTTTACTTGTTAGAAACATCAGTGTGGAGTGTGAACCTCATATTGACTGAAAATAAGCTGAGATGTGTCTACTTGGACTTTTTAGGATCCTGATTGAAGGTTCAATTGTTTTATTCTTATTTTGATTTGATTATTTCTAACCTTGACTGCTAAATACTACAGGTTGCAAAAGAAGCTTCAGATATGGTGCTTGCAGATGACAATTTTAGTACCATTGTTTCTGCTATTGCTGAGGGTCGCTCTATTTATGATAACATGAAATCATTTATCAGGTATTGTCTTTTGGTTTTTCATTTTAGATTTGATTGATGAACACAAGTCCTTCACATTTACTCAATTTTCAGGTACATGATATCATCAAATGTTGGAGAAGTGATATCCATATTCTTGACTTCTGCTCTTGGGATCCCAGAATGCCTGATACCAGTGCAACTTCTGTGGGTGAATTTGGTTACTGATGGTCCACCTGCAACAGCTCTTGGTTTTAACCCTGCTGATGTTGATATCATGCAGAAGCCACCTCGCAGAAGTGATGATGCTCTTATAAGTTCTTGGGTTCTTTTCCGTTATATAGTAAGTTTTGCTCAAAAGTTTCTTCAATTTAATCCATAACTATGCATGTCCTATGCTCAGGTCTCTCATGAGTTCATTGATCTAACTTAAAACTTTGCAAGACTTTTCTGATTAAACATGGTAACCATACTAATGCTCATGGCAGGTAATTGGTTCCTATGTGGGAATTGCAACAGTTGGCATTTTTGTCTTGTGGTACACCCAAGCATCTTTTCTGGGCATCAATCTTGTCAGTGATGGACACACAATTATAGAACTGTCACAGCTTCGCAACTGGGGAGAGTGTCACTTGTGGTCTAATTTCACTGTTGCTCCTTTTGCTGTTGGTGGAGGTCGCTTGATCACATTTTCAAATCCTTGTGACTATTTTTCAGTTGGTAAAGTAAAGGCCATGACACTGTCTCTCTCAGTCTTGGTGGCAATTGAGATGTTCAATTCTTTGAATGCCCTCTCAGAAGAGAATAGCTTGAGGAAAATACCACCTTGGAGGAACCCATGGCTTTTGGTAGCCATGTCAATATCACTAGGACTCCATTGCCTCATACTCTACATCCCATTCCTCGCAGATGTGTTTGGTGTTGTTCCACTTAGTTTGAATGAGTGGTTTATGGTCATTCTAATATCAGCACCTGTTATTCTCATTGATGAGATTCTAAAATTAGTGGTAAGGAGTCAAAGGAGGATGTTAAAGGAGAAAGAAGCATGAAGTCTCTGGTCTATGGCCACTATAGAAAGCAATACAAGAAGGCGATAAGATATTAAATGGGAGTATCAAACTAAATTCTTTGATAACTTTTTTCCTTTAGCCTTTAGGAAAATTACAGTTCATTATAAAAAGTGTATCTTAAACATCTAGTTCAGTTGCTCTTTTTTATTTTTCCTCCGAGAAAAATATAATTGCTGAGCCAAGAAAAACTGCTTTATTTATTGTTGTAAATAAAAGCAATCTTAGCATGCAATAATACCTGCAAGTGACGTATAGTCTCTGGAACATGATTCTGTGTTTGTGGAACTCCCTACTCATAGTAAGGGCTGTGGAATCTTCACAAGCACACAAAAACCACCAAATAAGAAAGACAGTGAGATATATATGGCGAGACTAGACTGAGGACCCTCTGACAGTAGCATGAACTTAATGAAATTCCTGGTGAAAATGCATGTTGATTTGGGAAAAAACTTCCCTTTCCATTTAACGTGATGTTGGAACCACACCTTGACTACCTGCGATTTATGAAGTTGATAGTAAAATCTCCATAATAATGATATTAAACTACTTCATTTTATTCAAAATATGGGGTTATCTGGCAGAAAGCCAAAGAAATATCATTAGTTTCTTCAAATTATGAAGCAGACCTTAAACTCTTTTCAATATAATATATTTCATGACATTTGATAGGCTGTAAGTGCACAACAAAGGATATTCTAAAATTTTCCGTTTGCACTAGTGAGTTTTATAAACTGAGTATCCCAACTCATTTGCTTGGCCAAAATGGGGTTGGTGGAAAATTTCACGGTTGCAATTTGGCGTATCCAACATGAATCATACTCCCTACGATTAGTCACTCAAATCAAGATCCAAAGGGCATTCAAATGCACTTCTATTAAGCTTTATCATTTCATAAACTCCATCTAGCAAAGCAAAAATTTCGTAGCTTTGTGGATGTGACCTATCCTCCACAATGAACTTATGCAGTTGACCTCCCTCTTCAATGAAACTATGTCCAGCTGCTTTTGTAATTTGGCTTCCCTTCATCACCTTCCGGAGCTTTGCAACTCCATCCCATTGGCCAGCTGATGCATAAATGTTAGAAAGAATGACATAGTTTCCTGGATTCCAAGGCTCAAGTGCAAATAGTGACTCTGCTGCTATCTCAGCCAGCTCAATATTACCATGGAAGCTGCAAGCTCCCAAGAGAGCCCCCCATATTACAGAATCTGGTTTCATGGGCATGCTTTGTATGACCTCGTAAGCTTCACTTAATTGCCCAGCACGGCCTAGAAGATCAACCATGCAGCCATAGTGTTCTAGTTTGGGAATAATGTGGAAGCACGTTGCCATTGACTTGAAGATATGCCTGCCTTTTTCAACCATGCCTCCATGAGTGCATGCCAAGAGGAGCCCCACGAATGTCACATCATCAGGTGAAATTCCTTCTTTCTGGAACAATCAGTGACACACACACACACACACACACCAATGTTAGTATCTTTTAGAACTACTTAAAGGTTCAAAACAACTGCGAAAAAGGGTTTATTATGACGTCTGTGAAGGAAATTAAGAACAGAGCCAACAAAGCTGCTTACCAGCATTTGATCATAAAGTTCAAGGGCCTTTCGACATTGTCCATGAACAGCCAAACCCATGATCATTGAATTCCAAGAGCACAGGTTTCTCGAGCTGCCAATCTCATCAAACACCCTCCAAGCAACATCAATCTTACCACATTTTGCATACATCTCCAATATAGCATTGCTCACATACAAATTCTTAAAGAACCCATGTTTCCTTGCGTATGCTTCAATCCTCTGCCCAATCTCCAGCGCCCCAAGATTTGCACAAGCTGGCAAAATGCTTGCCAAGGTTACTTCATTAGGCATTATCTCTGTCTCCTGCTCCATCCTCAGGAACAACCCCAAAGCCTTCTCATACTGTTTGTTCTGTGAGTAACCAGATATCATGGCGGTCCAAGACACCACATTCCTAGAAGGCATCAACCTAAACAATTCCAATGCTCCCTCCATATCACCAAATCTTGCATACCCCGCCATCATAGCATTCCATGTGGGTATCTCTCGGACAGCCATTTCATCAAATAGCTGGCGTGCCAAACCCAAGGTACCCAGTTTAGCATACATATCAAGCAAAGCCGTGGCAGCAAAGACATCAGGTTCAAAGCCTGATTTGATGAAATGGGCATGGAGCATTTGGCCAAGGGAAAGGGTAGAAAGGGAAGTGCATGCAGAAAAGAGGAAGTTGAAAGTGTGTTGATTTGGTGGGTAACCATGAAGACGCATTTGGGAGTAAAGGGAGAAGCATTGGTGTTGGTTTTGGCCATGGGAAGAGTAGGCTTGAATGAGCTTGTTGTAGAGGAAAAGGGTTGGCTTGGGGGCATGTTGGAACACAACATGGGCATAGTTAAGGTTTCGGATTTCAAGTAACTTCTCAATGATGATTTTGGTGTTGTCTATGCCATTTCTCAGTGTGTAACCATGGATTTGTTTCACTTGGTTCATCACTATATACAAATTTTTTTTTTTTGAGTTTGGGTTCCTCAAAAGCTGGAAACTTGAAGTTACCGTGTTTAGACTCAAAAAAATGTCACTTCATAGTACCAACAAAACCACATACGACACATTTTGTGCATGTTTAGTTTACAGCAATAATTTAAGGAAAATATTAGTCTTATAGGAAATTAATTATTTTATGTTATAAATATAAAATACATGGGACTCATTCTTTTAAAAATAAATAAATAAATGAGTGAATCTCAGATACTTTATTTCTATAACATAAAATACTAATCTCCTATAACATGATACTAGTATTCTCTATAATTTAATGGATTTGTTTTTTTGCAGTTACTGCATGTAACACCCCGTTCAAGAACCGGTTTGTTAACATCGCATTATGATATTAAGCGCAGTTACAATCACATTGGCTCAATTAAAAATCCGGATAAATTTTTCAATTTTTAAAACATACCGAACTTATAATACCTAATTGCGTGATCATAACCATATTACCTTGCGGAATCAGATAAACCAAGCTTAACATCATGTTCTCATTCCATTTTTAAACCATTAATTTACTTCTTATTTATTTCACAACTTCTACTATATTTTATATCTCTTCGTTAGCTACGCGTGGGTTCAAACCGCGCTCAAATCGGAGCACTGTAGCCCAAGTTATGGGATTTCCACGAAACGAGCGCGTGAATCCTGCTGATCCCGGCGCGAGCTGTGGCGCGGCGGGCGCCAACGAAACAGAAGCTCTCGATCCATATGGTGCTGGAGGCGCCAAGGTTGGCGCCAGGTGCGCCAGCTGGTGATCCCGGCGCGATTTGCGCTACGAAACAGAAGCTTCCAAGCACTATGGCGCGCGGTGCGCCAAGTTTGGTGCCAGGTGCGCCCAAGCTCTGAAGGTTTCACCAATTCTTAGTATTTTACCTCTAACTAGAGTTGTACTTGTCCAATTCACACAATATTGGTCTCTATGGAAAGCTAAGAAAAATATCTACAACTTCCATACATACACCACGGTCCAAATCTATCATATAAATTCCTCTCCAAAATTGATTTAACGGAAATTGGGCAGCATAACCTTTGTTTTCTCAACGTTTCCCAATCTAACAGCTCAGCTCCTAATAGACAATTCAGCTCAACATTTCCAATATTCATCATGCGTTCATAACCTTGAAGTAAATAACATTACACAAGTTTAATTACATAACGGGGAACTTAGCTACAAAAGGCTATGACCATCCCTTGGCTCTCATCAACAAAAGAGATATCCAAAGGCATGATCATAGGCTAAGTACATCAAATATAATGAGATATACATACGTCAATGCTATCAATAATCAATCCTATACATGTAAATCTACAAAATAACATGTATGATCTCAAAACATCATTTTCTTCATGCATGATCTACTGCAAATAAGGCCGCTTGCCATCAGAGGCTCCTGCAGCTTCCTTACCTGAAAGGGGGTCCCCATAACACGGGGTGAGATATACGAATATATCACAGTAAACCAGAGGTCCTTGGAGATCACTCCCCCCTAAGGTTCACTTTCGATGTACACATAATCATAATAGCTTAACACATTCTTATCAGCAAGCATCACATGGACTTCCAAGAGAGATCCACTAAGGGCTGTTTCTCTTAGGCTCTTACCACATGGAGATCCACATAGGGCTGTTTCCAAGGGAAGTCCTTTCCTCAATCTAGGAACCTCCAAGAGGGATCCACATAGGGTTGTTCCTCTTAGGCTCTAACCACATGGAGATCCACATAGGGCTGTTTCCAAGGGAAGTTCCTACCAATCATCCTCATCATAAAACTATCACTCATAACCTCAATCACAATCCTCAACCATTACCTCATTCATTATTGCTACTTCTATAACCATTCCTCAATTACTCTTAAACGATCAAACATCAACCAATAATCATCAATCAATCATAACATGTATCAATGCATGAATCAATGCATGAGCATGCAATTACAATCATAATTACATATCACATCTCATAAACCATTTCTCCTCCATGGAGTATGGTGGAACACTCAATGGGATCAACCACAAGGTCCAAAGATTTACCTTGCTCTTGAGCTTTCCTCAATTGCACACAACCACAAAGGTTGGTCACTCTACTTGGTCTTCTTGCCTCAATCCTATCAACACAAGGAATACAATCAATTGATACTAATAATATCTTAACATTTAAGAGCATCCTTAATCTCAAGCGTAATTTACTCAAATGACAATCTAAACTCATTTTCACCGTTTATTTATCATCACTAACAACATTTTCAAAGACACCAAGCCTCCATCACACTCAAACTCATAAAACCCCAAAATACACTATTCATCATCATCAACCTCAAGAAACTTCCATGAATACAAGGTTGGAGAAGTGGAAACTTACCACAATAGGTCACACAACCATGCAATAGAAGCCTCCCAAGCTCCCATGGAGGTAGGAGCCATCAATCTCCTCAATTTCACCTAGGGTTCGAATTTTTGAAGGAGAATATCTCTCTCCACAATAACCCCCACTCAAAACTAAACTAGGATTATGGAAGAGGGGAAGATTTTGAGTGGTCTAGGCTTTGGAATCACTCCGATCGGTGGAGAATCGCCCTCTCACCCTCTTCCTTCCCTCCTTCCTCCTTCTCTCTCTTTTTCTTTCTTTTCTTCTTCCCTGGTGCAGGGTGTCGTGGGGAATGAATGGGGTAGGGGTTCTTTTTGGCTTTTAAGTCACTTAACTTAGTTAAGTGACTTATGTGAGTATTGGTTCATCTATCTATTCACTCCATTATACCAAACTTTACCCAAAAGTCTGGAATATTATTCTAGGAATATTAATATTTTTATTTTTATATTTTGGACACTTTTTCCAGTACCCATTTATACCCCTTAACTTTCACTGAGTACACTTTTTACCTCCAAAGTGACTCCAATTCGTTTAATTAAGTCTTATACTTAATTTTACTCATTAATACAGGCTTAATTACTTAATTAAAATTAATTAATTAAATACTTAAGTTTGGGGTATTATACTGCAAATAAGTTATCTGCAGTAAGTCTAGTACGACGTTGTTTTGGGGCGAAAATCACAGTATTTTTGTAATTTTAATTTATTTTGAGGTTATAATAATTTTTATATTTATAATTTTGTAAGATTTCAATACCAAAACGATGTCGTTTTGAGAAAAATGCAGATAACTTATCTGCAGTGACTATAGAAACATTTTTTTCCTAATTTAATCCATACAATTGCATTACGACATTAAATACACTCATATGATATGGAAAAAATCTACAATACTACCGTTATATGTACAATTCACTTATATGAGTGCTCTACATCAGGTAACATATTTTTTGAAAAAAGAAAAAATAACTTTGATATTATAATTATATATTTTTTAAAATTCATTGTTTATAACTCGATTTTGTACCCGGTGCTCGATACGACGGTAACATAGAAAATGCTCTCCATGACATGATGTCATGTCATCTGAAAACATAACAAGTCATTTAAATATAAATCAATGATAATGGAAAAATACAATAGATAAAGAATTTTAATAATAATTTTATTCGAATGCTAATTTTTTTTAAATTAAAGTTGGACATAAGACATACTGATATAATGATACTATTGTATCAAAGAATTTGTCATCATCGAAAATATATACCAATATACAAAGGAAATGTCTGCATAAAAATAACCACTCCGATGTGATGTGTAATTCTCTCTAGTGTTAGTGGTTAGTGAGATTCTCCTTCAGACACCATAGATTATATTTGTAGTGCCAACATATTTTTGCATGCCCACATACATGCATAACACATCATAACAAAAGATGACAGCCATGCTCCTTGTCAAATATCTGGTTACATTTTTCACTGTATAAGAAGAATAACAATGAGTTCAAATAGCAAAGAATAGAATACAATCAATCTTCAAATGGACAAGCTAATATGAGGCGTTTAATATAGGCCTCAAATAAATCCCTGCATGTCCAATGGTGCTGTTGCCTGTATACACCAACAGACCAAACTGAACATAGGTCACCTATATCTATATGGTACAAGAGCTAAAGTGGTTCTCCATGAGAACTAGCCAAATGCAAAGTTGCAAACTCTATGGTCACATAGTTACAAGATTGAGGAACATAATGTCAGGTTCTCCTGGCAGGTGAAACCACATCATGCTGTTGCACAAATCCAAGCATTTAGTTTGCAATCATTGATGCCATGAACAGTTAAAGCATCAAGGGAAGGCTATTCCACATGGTTAGCTCCTCAGCACATGAATTGAACCAACATTTTATATTTTTTTTTTAGAAATATGAAGATTGATCATGAAGCACGTTCAAATGTGCCAATATTCTAGCTGAAATGGATCTCACACTACCATTACCCCGTTGAGTTAAGTCAACTAGAGGCATTTGAGCTGAGGCTCCATACATCTGTTTGAACTCCACTAGCCGAAAAATCCTTTCCAAAGCATTCAGAGACTTCTCCTGCAATCCAGTAGAGGGGGAACCAAGAAATTTTATTATTAGTGGTATGGCATTTGCTTCTGCAAGCACTTTACTACCACTCTGTAGTCTTTCACCTTCAATTAATGTTAATAGAGCATCCAAAGAAGCCTCACAAACTCCAGGGTCAGATTCCCCAAGAGTCCTTGTGAGTGGTGTTACTGCATTAGCTTCCAAAAGGCAAAATGATGATTTGACACTGCATATTCCTCCATGAACTATGCAGCTAATTTCAGCTGGAGCTGAGAAACAACATAGTCCTTTGCGCTTGAGTATTGGCCTGCTCAGTTGAAGTGAACTCTTAGAAAATTGAGTAAGACACAGTGACACACGTTGTTTTGTTAATGTGGTTCCACTTTCAAGCAACTGCACTAACACAGTTATAATCCCAGTTTCAGCTACACTCTTTTGCCATTCCAAGTTTGTTGGAACTGTAAAACGACACAAGGCACCAATGGCATTCTCTACTAACTTACTCTTTTGAATATCTCTGTCTCTCCCATCTCGGACACAATTATAAATGATTTGAAGTGCACCAGCATCCAGAAGCCATTGACTTATCTCGTGAATTTCTGGAAGATGGCATATTATTCCCATAGCAGAAAGTATTTCCTCTTCATCAGATGAAGATTTCAGGATCCGGAGTAAAGTATTGATGCATTTCTGATCAACATTCTCCAGTATGATGGCTTCATCACAACTCTCTACCAAGCAAGAAAACAACTTTACAGCACTTGCTCGCAGGTTTTGGTTTTCGTTCTCACACAATTGAACCAAGTCTGGAACAGCTGAGCACTGTTCATGCATAAGTATACTAATTTAATTATGGTATATTGCTACGCAACAAGAACTGAAAAATAGTTTCAACATATTAGATAATGACAATTGAAGGAGTGACAGAACAGTAGTAAGTGAATTTACAGCCAAACACTGGAAATTTTGGTCCTCAATGCACCATATATTGGTATAGCCATAGGGTATAGTTTTTTTATTTGTTATTTTTTTAATTTTGGTACAAGGTATATAATTAAGCAACCTATTTAAGGGCTAAGGATAAGCAAATGGTGTGGTTCTAGCTAACCAAATTAAATAGAAACTGATGGAAGATTAATGGCATCATCAATGCCACGTGAAAAGAAAAGAAAACCTAACATAGTTCTTAACCATCTAGCCATCCAGTAATGCGTATCATGCCATAACCAGCAAATGCAAATCCCATTTCCGAATATATTAAACTTCTCATATAGAAAAGAATAGAAAATTACTGCTAAAACCTGAATACATCTTTATTAGAATCTACATGAATGCTCAAAAGAATAATGACATGAGCATGGAAAGAAAAGGGGGAAGAAAAACAATCTAACTGATACATGTTTTCTTGCTTCTTCTTCTTTTGGATGAATGTGTTTTACTGCTAATTTGGTTCAGGTAGTTAACTCCTCATCTGTAATCAAAAGGTACACACTATACTTATACCATGTTGGCCAGTAGGTATATTAAACATCAGACATCAGTCATAGCAAATTAATATTAAAGAGTTAAGATTCAGGGAATTAAGGAAATACGAGAACAAGTTTGTTTTTGTCACCTTTGAGCCAAATGTAATGAATTTCTAAACTTAATAGTATGCTTGAAACTACAAATACAATGCTTTCTTGCTTAAGCATATAATATTTATAAGGCTAGAATCTTCCCAGGGTTGTCTTTAGTTAATAGAAAGAGATGTTTGCAAATTTCTTTGTCTTAAACATGATTATCATGATAGACACTTAGTAAGGTGGACCTTCTAAAACTTAAATGGTGTTGCCTTGCTTTTCTAGATCTGTCTGCTTTGACAATGTTGAGTGAATTACCTATTTAGAGCACTAGTGATTCTCAGAAAAACATTTCTATCTGTAGTAAATGCACATAGCTTCAGTAAGATTCATACCTCTTTTAGCTTGGTCCTGATATATGAAGCCGAGGGTGACTGACACAAGGCATGAAAGGTCTGGATAATGTTTTGTTGCACATCAGGCGGTGTGACACTAATTAAAGAGAAGAGGTTAAAAACATCATCATCAACTTCTAGTAATAAAACTGGTGTTTGAGCATCTTCTTGAGAGATAGTTGATTCAGCAAGTAGCTTAATTATGGCAGCTACGTCTTTCCACAAACTTGAGGTTTGTATGCTGCGATGGAAAAGGAGGTCAAGTAATGGTCGCACAGCCCCTCGACCAATCATTTCCAGTCCATTTTTCTTTAAACTGGATAGATTCCGAAGAGCTTTGATGGCCTCTGTTTTCACCTGAAGATCATTATGTGAGACCAAGTAAAGAAGAGGAGGCAGCACACCACCATCAAACAAGGACTCCTTATTGTGGTCAGTTAACTCCATTTCTGCTAAAGTTGTGGCCATAACCATCTTTACATCATCTGGTCCTGCATAGAGAGATAAAGAGAAACAGGTTATGGTAAAGGCTTGTTCTCACACAATCATCACCCTTCTCTGAAATAGTGTCCTTAACTGAAATTTATGCAGTTCTTTGAAACCATAACAAAAATCATAACATTTGTTTAATATATAACTAGTTGAACAAGGAAAAATATAATTCTTCTCTTTCACATTATATGCATATCTTTTAAAAGAAAAAGAAGAGGGTAAAAAGAACTTGCAATGGAACACTAATACACGGACTCAACTTATGTAGGTTAAAGATTAAACCTGTGGAGAGACGCTGCAATAAATGCTTGAAATAATTTGTCTTTGCCATCTGTATAACATTATGATCTGAGTATGAAAGGTTCTCCAATAGCTCCGTTGCATCTCTGGCAGCTTGATTGTCATCTCCACTAGACATAGTCACCAATAGCAGTATGCAACCTTGAGCTTTTCCAATGTTTTCTCGTGCCAAATCATATTTGCATAATTCGAGCAGTAAAGCCACTGCAAACTTCCTTTCCCCTTGACGACGTCCAAGAGAATGGACAATTGATTCGATTGCATTATCAACGGTTGCAATTCTTTCCTGCAGAAAAGGAAGTTCAATGGCGTGGTTGAATGTCCAGTATGAAATCACATGTAGTTGAATATGAAGTAAAGCAGCAATTATTTGTAAGTTTCAATATTTGGTGAATAAGACAGAATTAGGGGCTTAGAAATGCAGATGCAACCATCAATCTCATAAACATAAATTGAAACAATCTGAGAAGAAAACAAGGAGGAAAGTGAGATAAAAGAAAAGAAAAAGGATTAATTCAGGAGTACAATATGATCAAAATTCTATAATGAAATATAAAAGGAATTTGTTTTTCTGTATATTGATCTATGAATAAATTACATAAGGAGTATTTATACAAGAAAGAATAGCTAAGAATGACTCAGCGATGATTAATAACCGTATCAATGAGTCATCAATCCTATCTACTAATTAATAGGAAATAAAAATGGAAATATTTGAATCCTGATTTCCTACACTCCCCTTCAAGTTGGGAGGTAACTGTTGATCATTCCCAATTTGTCAATCAAGTCTTCGAATGTTGGGCGGTGTAGGCCCTTGGTAAGGATATCTGCAGAGAATATGAGATCTTCAACTCTTGAAGACTTCTCAACCAGATTCCTTCACAAACTCTATGAGCTAAAGCTCGAAATTCTGCTTCAGCACTACTTCTTGCAACCACTGTTTGCTTTTTGCTTCTCCAAGTAACAAGATTTCCTCACACATAGATGCAATAGCCTGAGGTAGATCTCCTGTCTACAGACGAGCCTGCCCAATCTGCATCAGTGTAGATTTCAATCGTCTATTTATACCCTTTTGTAAAGAATAATCCTCTTCTTGGAGTGTTCTTGAGGTATTTAAGCACCCTATAGACTGCACTAAGATGTTTCTCCTTGGATGAGTGCATGAATTGACTAATCATACTCACCGCAAAGGCAATGTCAGGATGCGTTAAGATAAGTAAATTAGTTTGCCAACCAATCTCTGATATTGTTCTTTATCCACCTCATTCGCATCTTCAATACCTAACTTGGTATTAGTTCCACAGGTGTCTCAGCAGGCTTACACCCTAACATTCCTGTTTCCAACAAAAGATCTAGAACATTTTTTTTTGTGAGAGTGATGCCTATTTTTCTCCTAGCAACTTCCATACCAAGGAAATATTTGAGAGTTCTAAGATCCTTCAGTTCAAACTGAGCTGCTAGATACTTCTTCAAGGAGTTCAATTCCTCAGTATCGTCACCTGCAAGAATTATATCATCTACGTACACAATAAGAATAGCAATTTTACCATCCTTAGAGTGTTTGTGGAAGAGAGTATGATCAGTCTGTGCTTGAATGAAGCTTCTTCTTTTGACAGCTTGTGTGAATTTGTTAAACCATTCTCTAGGAGATTGTTTCAAACCATATAGAGACTTTTTTAGTTTACACACTGATCCATTTCCCTTTTTAAAACTAGGTGGAGGATCCATATAGACCTCTTCATGTAAGTCACCATTTAGGAATGCATTCTTCACATCTAACTGTTGCAGAGGCCAATCTAGGTTGGCAGCAAGTGATAAGAGAACTCGGATGGTATTGACTTTAGCAACTAGAGCAAAAGTCTCATGATAATCTATCCCATGAGTCTGTGTGAACCCCTTGCAACCAATCTTGCCTTGTATCTGTTGATGCTATTATCTGCATTGAATTTTATTGTAAACACCTATTTGCATCCTACTACCTGATTTCCCTTTGGTAGGTCACTATCTCCCAAGTTCCATTTCTTTCTAAAGCATTCATTTCTTCAAGGACAGCATCCCTCCATTTTTTATCATTGAGAGCCTCATGTATGTTTCTCAGTATCTTTGTGCTATTCAACATAGTATTGAAAGCACGGAACCCTGGGGACAATTTTTCATATGAAATATGATAAGAAATAGGATGAGTAGTACAAGATCAAGTACCTTTTCTGAGAGCAATAGGCAAGTGTAGATCATTTTTATCATGCCACTCAAGTGTTGGGGTGCTGAAACTAGAACTTGGTTCAGAATCCTAGCAGTGTAGAGGCTCTGGGTTATTCACACTTTGAGGAGGCTTTCGCCAGCTATAAACTTGTCTCCACTTTGAGGAGGCTCCTGATGGTGGGGGATTCTAGAGCTCCCCCTGTTTTCAATAGTAGAGGTAATACTGTGGCATCAGTAGGTTCCCATGACTTATCTTCATATGCTCCTATAGACTACCCCTGAAGAGAAGTCAAGGGAAAGAAAGGTTGATCTCAGAAAATGTGACATCCATAGAGACAAAGACTTTACGAAGAGAGGGTGAATAACACTTATAGCCACGTTGAGTAGGAGAATAACCAATAAAGACACACTGGAGAGACTTAGGATCAAGCTTAGACCGTTGATGAGAGGGAATATGGACAAATACAACGCAACCAAATAACTTGAGAGGTAGGGAGGAGATGCCTCGGAAGGAAGGGAAGGTGCACAAACAACTAGAAAGAGGAGACTGAAAGTTGAGAGTACGAGATGGCATTCAATTTATCAGATACGAGGCAGTGAAAATGGCTTCCCCCCAAAGTTATTTAGGAATACTCATGGTGAACATAAGAGCTCGAGCAACTTTAAGGAGATGTCGTTTTTTTCCGTTTTGCTGGGTGTGTCAGGACACGAGCTTTGGTGAAGGATGGCATGTTGGGAAAGATATTCTCCAAGAATAGAGTTAAAATACTCTTTGCCATTATCTGTACGAAGAATCTGTATAGCAACTTGGAATTGGGTTTGAACCATGGCATGAAACTTTTTTAAAAAGGGTGCAATATCTGACTTGTCCTTTAGAAGGTATACCCAACAAACTCGGGAATGGTCATCAATGAAGGTAATGAACCATCGAGCACCTAAAATATTCTATACACGGGCTGGACCCCATATGTCACTATGAATTAAAGAAAATGGGGAAGAGTCATGGTGAGCTTTAGAAGGATAATAAACACGAGTATGCTTGGCAAGTTGATAAATGTCAGAAGAAAACAAACTATGACTTTTATTAATAAATAAGTTTGGTAACAACTTTTGAAGATAGATAAAATTGGGATGGCCTAGCCTACGGTACCACAACATAACATCATTATATGAATCAAAAGGAAACATAGAGTCTTTTTCCACAAAATTAGCTTCATGAGTCACATCCTCCTCAAAGTAGTAAAGTCCATCATCCTCTCTAATACTGCCAAACATCCTATTCGAGTCCTGTTCCTGAAAAACACAACCACGTGGAAAGAATTTAGCAAAACAATGCAACTCAGAAGTTAGCTTGCTAATGGAAATGAGATTGCAAGCCAGAGAAGGAACATGAAGAACTGATGTTAAATTAATCTGCTTAGAAATTTTAATGGTTCTGTGTCCTGCAATCTGGGAGAAGCTTCCATCGGCGATCTTGACCCAAGACGGTTCAGAGTGTGGAGTGTAAGAACAAAACAAGGTCGGATTACCTGTCATATGGTCAGAGGCTGCAGAATCAAGGATCCAATGATTTTGACTATCAACATGGAAAGTTGTACCTTGCTGGGCCACATTACCTGTCATATGCACGACCTTTATTCTATCCTTTTGGCATCCAATTTGCAGGTTTTCCGTGGATTTCCCCACATTTCTCACGGGTATGACCAATTTTATTGCAGTGGGTGCACCATGGACAACCATCCCGTTTTGATTCTTTAGAGAAACGGTCAATGGTACATTTGGCAGCCAATGCAGACATATCATCAAATTTATCAATTGACTCTTTTTCTCCCAGCATAACTCTCCGTCTACTAGTTCTATAGAACTTCAGCAAAGGCATCAGCAAGTGAGGATAACGGTCGTTGCCCCAATATTCGACCACGAACCTCATCAAGATCTCGGTTGAGGCCAGCAAGGAAATCATAAAGTCGTTCCTTCTCCAAGTATTTTTTAAACTGGGTATTAGCTTCCAATCCATTAAGATCGGATGCATAATAAAAATCCAGTTCCTGCCATAAATTTGTTAGTGCAGTAAAATATTCAGTAATAGTCATACCCCTTTGACGAAAGTCTCTCAACTTATTTCTCAGTTCAAAGACTTGAGAGGTTTTCTCCATATCTGAATAATTTTGTTGAACAGCATCCCAACTCTCCTTGGCGTATCGAAGAATAAATAGGTTTGGGCAATCTGTGGTTCCAAGGAATTAGTTAGCCACGCCATTACCAATGAATTATTAATCTCCCAATTTTCATAATCAGAAGCATCCTCAACAGGTTTCTTAATTTTTCCCTCGAGATAACCCATCTTATGTTTTGCCCGGATAACCAACTTAACCGATTGAAAACATTGCAGAAAATTCTTACTGTTCAACCGGTGACTAGTGATCTGCATACCTAAGTGGTCTCCAGAGGACTGAAAATTTGGGGCAGATGAGGAAGCGGAAGAACGATCTGAGGAAGCTATGAATAGATAAAGAAGGTTTGACCGAGGACCAAAAAATCAAGTTGCTCTGATTTTAGATCTGACCACTGGAATAGGTAGAGAAGGGGCCGACGAGATGATCTGGGCAGGTCGCGCTGGAAAAAAATTCCGAGAAGGTGGCGCGTGGTCTACACACGCCGGAGAGTGACCGCGCGTGTGGCGGCGAGTGGGACGTCTAACGGCGATGAGTCCGGTGGCGTTCAACTCGTCGAAGCCTTCTGAGTTGAATGGTTACTCCACCTTCTCGATTGGAGGTCTGTAGGTATGGTTTCTGGGATTTGGAAAAGGTTGGTTGGTGTTTGGATGAATTTTGAACTGGTTTCAGCCTTGAGGGTGGTTGATCTAGGGTAGGAATGAACCCACTCTTGATACCATAATGAAATATAAAAGGAATTTGTTTTTCTGTATATTGATATATGAATAAATTACATAAGGAGTATTTATACAAGAAAGAATAGCTAAGAATGACTCAGCGATGATTAATCAATCCTATCAATGAGTCATCAATCCTATCTACTAATTAATAGGAAATAAAAACGGAAATATTTGAATCTAGATTTGCTACGTTCTATATAAAATTGTGTTGGAAATTATTTTAATTCATAAGCTCATTATTTTGTTGTTGTATTTTCTATTTTCTGTTAATGGTGTGGATGAGAAAGGCCCTAACTAATGTGTCCTTGAATGTCAGATAGAATGCATCACACTAACTTTGAATCTCTTCTCCAGATTCTTCTTTGCCATGTTTGATTTCTAGCCTAAAGAGAAAGTCAGTTATAGGTTCATGCTACTGAAGCCAGAATCATTTATAACAAAAAATGTCCATAATTTTCACCAAAAAAAAAAAAAATGTCCATAACACATTTATTTTATTTAAAACTATAGCCGTTATTGATCAATATATCGGTAGAAAGCCAAATATTGAATGTAGTTTAAGCTGCTACACACATTACTAAAATAGAAAAGGGATAGTATTCATTTAAGTACCTTAGCTTCTTCATTATCCTTTGCCAGCATGGAAAGGATGACAAGAGCATAATTCCTTATATCACGGTTTTTTGAACCAAGAATTTGGATAAGAGCTGGTATGTAATTCTCCAGTATCACCCATTTCCTGTGTTGGTCTTTTTGTTCACACAAATCCTGGAGAGTTCCCAGACTGTGGAGCACTTCATTATCATCTCCAGACTGTATCTTTTCTTTCAGTGTAGCAATTGTAATCATTGTATTTCTATCCTTCCATTCTTCTATGGATTGTTTCAAAGTTCTGTTAGGTCTCAAAATTGATGTGTCTAAAGGAATCAAGGTCAGGGGACACAATTTGTTTCCTTCTGCAAACCACTTCTCTATTGCACTTCTCTCAAATGTTTGCCCTGATGAAGTTTCTACAGGGTCCACCATAACATCTTGGGTGATGGGGCAATAAAATGACTGTAAAGGCTCCAGGATTTGAGTACCCAACGACTGGCGTTTGGCAAAGTATTTGAGTTCCTTTTCCCTAGGTGATGATGCTGCATCAGCCCTTTCCAACAAAGCAATGATCTGATCCATTTGTAGAGCTTCAGCCAAGTCCTTCCTAACGCGGGCATTTTCAATTTCATTCTTAAACTCATCAAGTTCTTTCTTCATTATTGATCTCTCATTTCTAATCCCAACAGCTTCTGCAATGAGAATCAGCAAATTATTGGCATAAGAGCTATCAACATTGTTTTCCCTTATCCCTGACTCAATTTTCTCTAAAATCTCTTCTTCTGCTAAAGCTGCCTCAAACCCAGCTTTTTGCATATTGTCACATAGCTTTTCAATCTCTTCAATTATTCCTGAAGAAAGACCTGATGTGGCTAAAGGAAGAAGACTAAGTGCCCTGCTTATCTCCTTTGTGTGGTTTTCTAAGCGCTTAACAATGGACCTGCAGTTCATTAGGAGATAAACTTTGCTCCTCTTGCTGCATTCTTGCGCCAGTTGCTTTGCATGTTTAACTTCACGATTCATAACCTCAATGGCACTGTTGAATGTCTCAGAATCACTGACTTTTTCTTTCTTCAATTCTTTTAAGATAGGCATAATTCTTTCCATGTAAGATGCAAAATCCTTAAAACTATCCTTCTTCACAAGGACATCACTAGCATAAAATAGGAACTCAGAAATTATATCTATGATTTGAGAAATGGCTTCTGTGGTAGGACCAGAAGTGAACATATCTAGAACCATCATCTCACAATACAATTTAGGCAAGGAAATAAGACCCCTTTTCTTCACATGAAACAATAACACCAACTGATGTTGGCAGAAGGGTTGCAGAAATTTCCTAAGCCTTCTGATCAAGGAATGCTTCCATACCCATTTCAATTCAATTTCAAATGCCTGAATCTGATATCAAAATATCCAAAAAAGAAGAAGAAAATAATCAGATTCATTTACCAATTATTTCTCTACATTGAACTAATAATAAATTGTTATCATAAATTTGTGTACATTACTAACTTTTAAAAAAAAACATTGACAATATTTTGAGTTGCTGAAAAATAAGCCATATTTCTCAAAATTTTAATTTTTCTTCAGGACAAGCAATGGGTTCTGGACCTGGTGGCATCTTGCCCAGCTTATTATTGAAAGCAAGGAAGAAGAGCAAGTTAAGGATCATTGATAAAAATGAATCAAGAAACTAAATTGCTTTGACTACAAACTTACAAGTTCCTCTCCATCCAATCTGCAACATTCAATGACACCAGAAAAATGCTTATGCTAATAATGAATTTTGAAGAACTCAATCCAACTACGGCAGAGTTAAAAGTTGACTTGACTTCTCTTTACCAGAGACTTCTCGGATGCCAAATAATGCCACTTGTTTTTCAGTTGGTCTCCATTAACATTTTCTCAGCTCCCAATCCCAAGCAAAGAGGATAAAAGTCATTTCCCAGAAAAGCTAGTCCCCCACGTATCTCCTTCTTACCCTTTTTGTTAGGCAACAATATCAATCACAAAAAAACATGGAGTCACCATAAACCTACAGATGAACTAAAAATTTCATCAAAACATAAAAATTAAAAGGTAAACAAGAAATCAATAAAGCTTCTATCTTTGTTAAAACGGGTCATATCCACAAGTTGGGTTACCCCATTAAGCATTGACATATATTCTGAGAAGCCAACAAGGGAAAGACTCAAAGTCAACAAGTACCTGAGGAAGACTAAAAGAGTGGAGCCATGAAAATTGAGAACCCCCACTATTCAGCAAAGGAAACTAAGATCCCAGCAAACAGAGAATCTGAGAGACCATTTGAAAGAATCCATTTGAAAGAGCTTGTATACTGTTCATGTTTCTCCTTCCATCCACCTGTTCCAATTAGAAGACACTTAATTAACGTGTCCAAGCCTTGAGGATTTTTCTATCCCATTCCATTGCCTTTGACTTGGTAGCTGCCAAAGGTTTACCATTACGTATAAATTACATGTAAATAATTCTAGTACCTCCTTGCAATAACACGGTTGTAAAGTTTGTCTTAAAGTTCAAACCATGGTACAGAAAATAATGTTAGGTTATGTCGGTCAATCTATGTCCCATTACCTAATATATATATATATATATATATGGGATTGTAGTTTGTCCTTTAACATGACACCATCAAATTTCCTACACACAAAATATTTTGTGGGACCCGCACTTTTTAAAACAAAAAAAAAATTAAAAAAGTTAAGGCACGCAAAACGAATCTCTATAACATTACACAATCACTTTTCCTACAACATAACTCTTATAAAACCCTATATATATATATATATATATATATAGAGTTTTATAAGAGTTACGTTGTAGGAAAAGTGATTGTGTAATGATATAGAGATTCGTTTTGCGTGCTGTAATTTCTTTTCTTTTTTTTCTCTTTTCTTCAAAAAGTGTGGGTCTCACAAAATTTATGTGTTTAAGAAAGTTTGTTGTGTCATGTTAAATGACAAATGCAAATTCCATATATATATATATGGAAAATATAGTTTTAATGGAGAAAAATTTTGTGCACTGACCGATTTTAATTATGTAATTATGAGGATATATAGTAAAAATATTGAAGCTGTGCCTGCAAATAATTTTTCTCTCTTCAAAAGTTGTTGTTGATATGGAGAGAAATTTTTTTATTTTTATATTTTTATTATGTATCACCGGAAAAACATATATAACAATGAATATTTATCCATATGACAACTCATCAATAATATGCTGCCATGCTAGTTTGAGTGAATTTTTTTTATTTTATGACATAATTTAGGGTTTAATATTTATTCTTTTAAAGAATATAGAATTGTGTCCTTTTAAATAAGAAAAAAAATACATAATAAAAATTATGAGGGGACAAAGTATGTGTTTTTTTAATTTAAATTTTAAATAAAAAATATTAATTTTAACTAAAATGACCAATATTTAAAATGATAAATAATTTTTTCTTAGGTCTCCTAGGTGTTCCTATTACTCGGTGCAAAAAGGTTACGTACATATAATATTCAAAATTGAGCTGATTCATATTACCACTTGAGTTCATTATCACAATGCAAGTTGGTTTGCGTATTTTATTTTTATTTTTTTTATGATAAGTTGATGATTGGGGTTTTGTATTTTGGTATAATAAGGAGTTGGATTAATTCTGAGATGGAAAAAAAATTGTAAAAAAAAAAAAAAAAACACAGAAATATTGTTTTTTAGCAAAAAAAAGAGAGAGACCTTGACTGCTTCCGGGAACCATAGATAAAATACACGTTTTGTTCTTAAATTTTTTCTTTTTCTTTCTAATGGTGATATATAATTGCGTTGAAAGTTAGACTCTCTTTGGTCTTTGCTTGTACGAACAAATGAGAATGCCACAACGCGTTTGCCATTTGCATGCGGATAAAGCATAAAAGAGGTGGATTATTATAGTATATAGTTATTGTTAAGAATTTCTATTTAAATAATAATGGCAATGGTGCATACAACTACAAGTAGCAAACTCCAACATCATGAAAAACCGTGACAATCTCAAATAAGGTTGAGGGGTTATCTTATCATCGAAACATTTTCAAAAAATGCCAGTAATATACTATCTGATACACTTTTTTAACCCACCATTTATTATTAAGTGACTTTTGTGTAATTTTCACTAAATAATTTTGGTAAACATTCTTATTTTAATGTTGTGCATAAAATTTATCCATTAATAAGAAGTGTGTTATAAAAAAAAAATGTGTTGCATCATTGCTCCCGTGTATTATAATAGGGGATTCCCTTGTTTCAGTGATGGAACTAAAGATAAGCGCAAAAGTGCTACTACCTTAGTGGGACTTTATAGTTATTTATGATATATGGATGTAGGGTGGTTCCCGCAAGGTTTGTGAATGGACTTTTCTTGTTTACCCAATTGTGTCTAAGCAATAATTAATTACTCATTCTGGACAGGCACTCTTGGTGTTTGTGAACCAATATTGAGTACTAAAGTTAATGCCCTTATACGGTTGTTTCACCCATTTTGGGTAAAAGTATAGTGATTTCATTCGTTTGCTATGATTGGAAAAATAATTTTTGATGGGGTAGTCATAGTCACAGTCATAGTATGTTCCGCGACCCAAACAAACCCCATAAAATTCCTTTCTATTTTTTTCAATTTATTAGTGAGTATCGAGTTCAATACCTCATCATGAAAAATTATAACACCAATCATTAAATCACAACAATTTGTCCGTAATAATATTCCTATTATTATATTTAACACATATTTTTGTATAAATTTAATTAAATCAATTCAACTAATGACTGGATTACACCAATGACAGATTGACCAACCACCTTAAACAAGTCGATAATCAATCCAAATGACAAACAACTGATGAGTGGATAGACATCACATTTTAACTGAAAATTTTAAGATCGTAAGTTCATGGATCTTTTGCACTTGTTTCGTCCTCACTTAATTCATCTCTAACTAATGTGGGACTTCATCATCATTCACACTTGAATATTTCTAACAAAATTAAATGTATAGTTTGATGTATTTTGATAATTTTGTTTAAACTTGCATTATATATTTTGATTAATTTGAACCTATATTTTTATAAAGTTAAATTTATATATTTTAATGAATTTATATATTAAATTCTTAATACAAAACTTTTCTAATTCAAATCATTTTAGATTCGAATAAATTATTGTTTTAAAATATATAAACCAAATGATAAATAAAAGCTCATATCATATAAAATCATTTGACAGTGCAGCACATTTTAATATTATAGATTTTGAAAAAATAAATAATTTTGTTATAACTTAAATAGTTGATATTACAACATTCACCAAATATTCACCAAATTCACCGTTCGGGTGAAATAACTGCCCTTTAGTGTGTCAAAAGATATGGACGGGAACGCTTCATAACATACATACATCATGACATGATCATTGATTTGAACTTTGATTATTTAAGACCCTGTCTTTTATTAAAAAATATGATAATGTATAAGAAATATTTTAGAAATTATAATGGGATTCGAATATGTAAATAACATTTTTCACTCCATAAATTATATATATACTAATACACATCTTCTTAGATTTATGTAATTTTTATTATCTGATTATAACTGACCTCACTTCATATTTTTACACCTTCACTCTTATCTTGTGGCAAGCCCAATTACGGGCAGGCCCAATAGAACTATAAAATTATCAGGCCACTTCAAGACATAGCCAACCCAGTAGTTTAAATTGGTTCTATAATGCTTTGTTAGGATAATTTTATAAATTAAGATAAGGATAGGATAAGCTTCACTATAGTTTAATTTTAATTTTAGTATTTATCATTCTTTTAATTAAGCTTATCATTTTTTTAATCAGGTTTATATTCTGCTCATTGGGTTTTTATTAGATCTATGTAATTCAAAAAATGATCGAATAAAATCATCCGAGTTTATTTGATCACAATTCCTCTCTCATCTTTTCTGTATTCTCCCTCTCCCTTTCTGTACCAATAACCTTCCCTTTCATAATGTGGAGATATATAAGACTTAGATTTGTGGAACAAGCCTTTTTTTTCCTCTTTCGGTAAGCTCCTTCAATGAAATAATGTTTGATGCACGTTAGCACAAGTCTATAATCTCGTATAAAGATGAGGTGACAAAATTAAAATAAAAATATGCAAAAAATGAAATATAATTAAGCTATTAGAATTAGTTTAATAATAAGAGATGTGGTTAGTTTGCAGGAGATTATAAATTCAAACTTCAGTATTACCATTGTATCCAAAAAATATGAAATATAATTAATTATAATTAGATGATAAAAATTGTACAAGTGTGAGGTGATTAGTGTTAAGTTTCTGTTTATCATTATTTTCTTGAATGTACTCATGAGCTCCATTGAAATCCACGTGCCTTGTTTTTGTTTAACTTTATAGTAACGAGTATCCTTACGTACTGAATTTTTTTAAGTAATTAAAAACATTTAATGGAAAATATTAAATATCCCTCAACTAGTATCTTTAAGGCACTCATTATTTGTTATTCTTTTATGCCATAATGAAAAATTTCACATTTGACATAATATAATATTTTCTCCCAATAAACTGTTCTTAAAATAAAAACAACTGTATAATAATAATAAATAATGTAATATACTAGTTAATTAAATTAAAATTATTCATTTTGTATAAAAGGGTTGGCAAAGTACGATAAAAAAAAAAGTTACTTAACCAAATTATACGTGTTGCGACTCTGAGGCAGTTTTTTAAATGATGAAAATAAAGTGTAGTTATAAATAAGTTATTGACAATCATGTCAGCAATCCGTTGTAGTCTAGTTGGTCAGGATATTCGGCTCTCACCCGAAAGACCCGGGTTCAAGTCCCGGCAACGGAAACTTATTTTTTTAATATTTCAGCTTTTTGCTTCATTTGAGCAACGTGGACTATTGTAAACCCCAAAGAGTTATAGCCCAATGAGCCCAAGTACTACTGTACTGACTTCTACAAATGACGTTGTGAATTGAGATCCTCTTCATAGAATCATAAATCATATTGATGAAAAAATTCAAACGCTGTTATATCACATCTGATTTTTTATTTTTTCTCTTCTGTTTTCTTTGTAAATAAGACTCTATTGAACTATGATCCTTCCCTTTCACAAATATTGAATATGTATTCATTAAGCAATTGGGATAATGTGTAACTGATAGATAGAGAATTGTGCACCCTTTTTGTAGATGATTGTGATGAGAGTTATGTAAGTTAAATGAAAAAAAGTTATGCGTAAGTAGTATTATTTTTTTTAAAATTTAGTTGAATCCCACATAAATTCCATAAAATCAAAACTTTGATTCCAGAAGAGTAATAACTTTGCCATAATGTTTAACTTTAGATAAAGAATTTATGACCTCTCATACTTGTTTTTCTCTTTTATTGCTTTCATTTATTCATTATACTTTTGTTTTTTCAGAATATATATATATATAAGGATCGATTATTCTACCTACCATTTTTTCTGCCTACCTTTGCCTAACTTTAAAACATCATTAGATCAGAATCTTAACCAACATTTATCTTTCTCTCTCTTCTTGAGATTCTGATCTAACGGTGTTTTAGAGTGGTAGGCAAAGGTAGGCAGAAAAAATGGTAGGTAGAATAACCTATCCCATATATATATATATATATATATATATATATATATATATATATATATATATATATATATGGGGTAGGATATTATCACATCGGTATAAGAGTTAGAAGTCTTACACTCAATCTTAACAATTGATTCACTTGTATCCAATGGCTCACGTTACCAAAAAATTTGAGCCCTTAGATATAAATGGAATCAACGGACGAGATTGAGAGTGTAACTTACACTAGTGTAAAATGATCCTGACCCTATATATATATATATATATATATATATATATATATATATATATATATATATATGTGAGGAAGGTTATACTTACAACTTTTTTTTTACAACCTCTTACAACCATATCTTAACACCGCCGATTTCCGCCGATCAACGGTTATTATTTATTGAGAATTAATAATTAATTAATGAGTTTAATTTGCAAAAATCATAACTGTTGATTGGCGGAAATCAACGGTGTTAAGATATGGTTGTAAGAGGTTGTAAAAAAAAAAGGTTGTAAGTATAACCTTTCTCTCTCTCTCTATATATATATATATATATATATATATATATATATATATATGGGGATAGGATCTTTTGACACCGGTGTCAAATTTGAAGTTTGACACCTCATCTGATAGTCGTTAGATCAAAAAAGATCAATCGTTTTACATGCTTACAAATCAAAGTCGTTGATCTTTTTTGATCTAACGGCTATCAGATAAGGTGTCAAATTTTAAATTTGACACTGGTGTCAATGGATCCTACCTCACACACACACACACACACATACATATATATATATATATATATATATAACCGTTAGATTAGTGAAAATCAACGGTTAAGATTTGGTATCAAAGTTTTTGATTTGACACTGATGTTAAAGGATCCTATGAGAGAGAGAAAGAGACTGGATCCTTTGATACCGATGTCAAACTTTTTAATTTAATATCAGTGTCAAACTTTTTAATTTGATAGTAGTGTCAAACTTTTTAGTTTGATCCCAAATCTTAACTATTGATTTCCGTCAATCTAACGATGATAATTTATTGGGTCACACAGTTATAAGTGTGACCCAATAAATTATAAACGATAGATTGACGGAAATCACAGTTAAGATTTGGTGTCAAATTATTTTAATTTGACACCGGTGTCGAAGAATTTTGTCTATATATATATGAAAAGATTGGATGTCCAGACACTGGATATAAAATTTTGTCCACTCATCGTATTTATAGGGATTATTGGGTCCTAGCAGAGGTGGACCTATTTGGTCGCCTATGTTCGCACTTGCGGACATGAATTTTTGATTTTTTTTTTTTAAGTATAGTAGTCAAATATGATGTTTGTTAGATTAAGTTTTGTTTGGATATATAATGAGGGATGAAATGAAAATGAATGGAATACAGTGGGATGTAATGGAATACAACAAATCAGCATTGAAAAAAAAAAGGTGTCGGGGATAATTTTTTATGTTAAGTTGAAGTTTTTTTTTTCTTATTTATAATTTTTGTTTTTTAATGCATTTGAAATTTCCTTTAAAAAAAAATTTCGGAGGCGCTGCCGCGAACCCCCATCACTAAATATGCGGACATAAAAAATATTTTTTGGGTCCGTCACTGGGTCCTACAAATACATAGTTATAATACGGTGCCTGGACAAAATCTTATATACAGTGACTCGTTTTATATTTACAAAATATTAATCCCATATCACATATTTACAAAATCTTATTGTTTGTTATGTCACTAGATGGTCAAGTCATGATTAAACTATGTCGTTTTGTTTATTTATTTACTTATATTAATTGATTTATCTTTGTATAGTTATGATTTTTTTTCTTCATTTTTACTATTGATCCATCTTTGTATGATTATGATTTAGTAACTGGACAAAAGTTTATATCCAGTAAATTGACACTCATATAACCCAAATATATATATAGGAAAAAATATTTCTACAACCACTTTAGATAAAGTTATCTACAGCCACCTCAAAAACTATGTCGTTTTGATTAATAAAGGGTGTTTCTGTAATTTTAGGTGGATTAATGAAGGGTGTTTCAGTAAAATGTATATGATAAAAAAATAAACAAGATTATGAAAATACCCTTCATTAATTCACCTAAAATTACAGAAACACCCTTCATTAATCAAAATGACGTAGTTTTGAGGATAGCTGTAGATAACCTTATCTAAAGTGGGTGTAGAAATATTTATCTCATATATATAGGGTTTTATTAGTATCATGTTACATAACCCAATAAAACTTTCCTACACACACAATTAAGAGGTGGGGTCCACATATTTTTTTTTCTTACATCATTCCACTTTCTCTCTCTTCTTTATTGTGAGGGTAGAAAAATTTTCTTATATCCTACAACATTATACTCATAAAACCCATATATGGGTCAGGATCGTTTTACACTAATGTAAGTTACACTCTCAATCTTTTCCGTCGATCCCACTAATATCTAAGGGCTCTAATTTTTTAGTAATATGAGTCATTGGATACAAGTGGATCAATGGTCAAGATTGAGTGTAAGATTTCTAACTCTTACACCAGTGTAAGAATATCCTGCCCCCATATATATATATATATATATATATATATATATATATATATATATGAGATAGGATCAACTTACATCGGTGTAAGAATGATAAATCTTACACCTAATTTTAACCGTTGATTTTCGTGCATCTAACGGTTGAGATTTATTGAGAATTGAAAATTAATTAATGAGTGAGACCTAATAAATCTTAACCGTTAGATGCATAAAATCAATAATTAAGATTTGGTGTAAGACTTATTATTCTTACACTGGTGTAAGATCATCTGGCCATATATATATATATATATATATATATATATATATATATATATATATATATATTTGTCACCCTTTGTTTTAACTCTATAACTTATGGCGACTTAGAATAAAATGATAGAACCATACATAAATTTAATCACTCTTTTCAATTTCCAGGGTCCATTCAAATGAATTAAATGCTTCACAGAAATTGTTCAGTTGTTGTGTTAATATCCCTTCTTTGATTTCGTTCCCTTTGTTTCTCGTTTTCTTTAGTTGTTTCTGTTACAACCACAAATGTACATATGTAATAAATATGTTGTTTTTCAGCATCTTCACCCTGATTAAAGCCGAACAAAGGTTTTCACCCAAAAAAAAAAGCCGTATAAAGGTGAGATGTAGCCACGGTTGCATCTATGGTCACTACATAACAAATAGAAAGTAAGAATTCATCATTCTCAATTATATTATTACTATTACAATCAGCACTGTCGGTGGAAGAAATTATAAACTGAACTATGCTAAGAATTGCTAAGTACGGTTACTGCACTGGACCAAAGGGAGGCGAAATAAGTTCAGATTCTTTCATGTGTGCCTGGAACAATGACATTTTATATACTTCAATTAAATGATTAAGCATATAAAAAAGTTAGGCTTTATTATATTTCAGCTTGAGTTTTGGAGATTTTTCCCCTACTTCCTTGTATCAACACTAGGAGATTCACCATGATGATAATAAAAAAAACAACCAAGTGCATGAACTTCCTCAATCTTCAATTCCAGCCTTTGCAAGATATAAATCAATGATATTAGGTGAAAGAAAAAGAGCAAAGTCATGTTCCTTGGATTGCGCCTTAAATTAAGACCAAAGTGATCTGAACTAGACACTTCAACCATTCAAAAAAAATAATGATTTCCGGTTCCCTTAACCTGAGGCAAACCACCATAGCTTTTCAGAAATTTTTGATTGGTTTTATATTTATATTTTCCTTTTTGGCTGAAAAGAATTCAATCATATGCTTAATCACATACTGTGATATCTCAGCAGCAGAAAGCATCAAGACAATAAAGTCCAATAAAAGTGCCACATAATATAAAAAAGTGGGACACAGACTTGTATTGTCTGGTTCATCTTTTTTCAACCTTTTCCCTGTTCCTTCACTTACTTTTACTAACTTCCCAAACCAATACTTAGGCCAAGGTTGTACTATAATTTTCTGGGGAAGACTAAGACCAAGGTTTAAGAACCTAGTTAGAAAAATAGGGCCTTATTGACCTATTCTTTTTCAAGTTCTTACTGGTTGGTCTTTAGAAGGAAATGAATGGGGTTGGGGTTGAGTTTGAGAAGCAGCATGAGAATGGACATGAGAAAATAGATTATGATGAGGAAGAGAAGATAGATTATGTGTTTAAGGTGGTGGTGATTGGGGACTCAGCTGTGGGAAAGACTCAAATACTCTCAAGGTTTGCAAAGAATGAGTTTTGCTTTGACTCAAAGTCCACTATTGGAGTTGAATTCCAGACTAGGACTGTTACTATTAATGGCAAAGTAATCAAAGCTCAGATCTGGGATACTGCTGGCCAAGAAAGGTTCATTACACTTCTCTCTCTCTTTCATGCCTTTGCTTGATTTCTTTGTCTAATTTTCTTGTCTTCCCTTTGAACTCAAGGGTTTACATTGAGTTTTAATCATCTGACCAACTTAAAAGATTGTTGTTTTATACAATGTGAAGCCAATTTGACTTGAGAAACATACATTACCAAGAAGCACATGATATTGACTTTAGTTCTTTATGTTTTTATTTTCCTTGATTTGGTCCCAAAAGTCACATTAATATTCTACATTTTTGGAGGAATGTATGCTTCTTATTCAAATTGTCAGATTCCATATGCAGATAAAACCCAGCTCTAAAAAAGGTAGCTAGAATCCAATGAATTTAAAATTGCAAAAAGTGTGCATGAATGGCAAAGGGCAATACAGGATTTATGGGGGGGGGGGGGGGGGAATTAAAAGTTATTGGTAAAATACACTGATAATACTTTATCATTTTGATGCAGATAAATTGTTACAAATTTAACATATTATATATGTAAATTTTTCTTGCTGTTATAGGTACAGGGCTGTGACAAGTGCATACTACAGAGGTGCATTAGGGGCCATGCTGGTGTATGACATAACTAAAAGGAAATCTTTTGATAATGTTGCTAGGTGGGTTGAGGAACTGAGAGCACACGCAGATAGCTCCATTGTGATCATGCTAGTTGGGAACAAAGGTGACCTTGTGGACCTTAGAGTGGTGCCTACTGAAGATGCTGTGGAGTTTGCAGAGGACCAAGGCTTGTTCTTCTCAGAGACTTCAGCTCTCAGTGGTGAGAATGTGGACACTGCATTTCTCAAATTGTTAGAAGAGATCAATAGGGTAGTTTCTAAAAAGGCATTGGAATGTGGTACAGGGAAGCTGAATGGTGACAATAATGCAGCCACACTCAAAGGATCAAAGATTGATATAATCTCAGGTCCTGAATTGGAAATTAGTGAGATGAAGAAATTGTCTTCATGCTCTTGTTGATCTTGTTATGAAGATCTATGTTACTGTATTTGGTTTGAACTTTGGAAAAGAGAGCAGAGTGAGGATTATATAACTATATATATATATATATGCGTATGCCTAATGGTAAATTGATTTCATCTGGCCTTGCTTTCATGTTAAAAAATATTGAAGAGTAATTATCCTGTTTCATTATGATTATGACTCACTACAGTTATAGCACATTTACAACACTTAGTGAAAATGTGTATTGATGGCACATTTAGAACATCCACTAAACAATAAACAAACTTCTGATATTTAGAATACTAAGAACATTAACTAAAAATGTAGCTTGTCTATTAAAACTTTATTTTGCCCTTCATAAGTAAAATGGTTTGCACTAACAAAAAATCTCATAGTTATGTACTTTAAATTTTAAAAATATATCAAAACATCGTAAATGCTTGTGCTGCAAATGTCATGACTCATGACAAAATTAATGCTTAAGATATAAATTAACTTATAATGACAATTTTGAGCACTCATTTAAAGTTTGTTGTGGATATGAAATTTACAGTAAATCGTCAGTCATTAATAGGTTTTTATAGTTTAAATGTTTTTAATGAAGTTCTTATTTTACTAAAAAAAATTAAGGAAGTAAAGTTAACTTTTGCTAAATTGTAGGAACTTATTTGAAATTTAAATAAAGTATAAGGACCTATTTAAGTCAAATAAAGGTTTGTAGTTTATTTAGGTTTTTAAATAAGTCCTCTTAGTTGAACAAAAATTAACTGAGTCTTAACAACTAAGGGCATGTTTGGTGCATAGTATAGGATAAGGCCTGATAGTATAAGACCTGATAGTATAAGGCCTGATTGTATAAGACCTGATTGAATTTTAATACTATCCAGCGTTTGACACGGTATTGTATAAAATTGTTGAAAATAATCAGAGCCAATGATCTGGGCTGGGCCAAGTGTGTTTGGAAGGCCTCTGCAGAAGGCTAGTGTGACCCTAATATTTGAAGAGAAAAAAAGACTTCCGCAGAAGTTGACCTTAGAGTAAGAATGATATTGGGTCTCACACTTGAGGGAGGATGTTGAAAATAATCAAGTATGAGTTGTAAAGAAGTACCACATAGACTAGACATAGACCAAGTGATGACCATATAAGTGTGAAAGACCCATAAACCTGCAGCCTTAAGGTTTTGGGTTGAGACATGGTATCAGATATCCACTTGCTACGGTTGGTGTAGCCTTAGCTCAGTGGTGGTGGCCCCCCGCCACGGGCTTCCCCTTGGATCCGCCTGACATTGGTATCAGAGCCAGGTTGGGCTCGAGCTAGCCTGGTGATTGGCTAGGAGGCGGGTCGAGTACTTTGCGCTTGGGGTACTCGGTTGAGGGGGAGCATACCAATGGTGGGTTTCACACTTGAGGGGGAGATTGTTGGGATATTCAAGTGTGATAAGTCCCACATTGGTTGGTAATGGGCTAAGTGAAAAGTATATCTCTGGAAGAGACCCATGAATCCAATGCTTTAGAGTAAGAATGATATTGGGTCTCACACTTGAGGGAGGATGTTGAAAATAATCAAGTATGAGTTGTAAAGAAGTACCACATAGACTAGACATAGACCAAGTGATGACCATATAAGTGTGAAAGACCCATAAACCTGCAGCCTTAAGGTTTTGGGTTAAGATGTGGTGTCGGCCCACTTATTATAGTTTGTCATTTGGCCCATTGGTGGATGTATCCTTTGCAAAGGGTTTTGGGCTCCCTCATTCCATTTCCCAACAAAAATAATATATTGTATAAGATAATATCATCTAGTATTTAGTAATGCACTGTATAATACTATATATGATAAAAATAAATATTTTTAATAAAAATATCTTTTAATAAAGAATCTATATAATTCTTCAAAAAATGTCATATGATATTGATTTTTATAAAAACTTATTGATTAGTGTGTCCAAAATATAAATTAATTTTTATAAAAATAAAAATATTTAATATTTTAAAAATTAATATATTGAAAAATTAATTTTATTTTAATAGATTAATATTAAAATAATATATTAATTTTTGAGAATTACATTGGTCACCGATGTTAATACATCAATCTCTTATCAGGCCTTATCACTTACCCTTAGGCCGGATTAAGTTATACATTGTTTTGATGTATTAAGGGATTATGCTGTATAAGCTTATACTATACGATGGTCACACTAAATAACAAAAAATATCATAATGTATAATATAAACTTATATTATCGTATCTTATACGTCACACCACCAAATAAACCTGGATAAGAAGTTAAGTAATCTTCAGATGTACAAGGGCTGGTAAGGTACATGTCGGCAGATGTTGAAAATTTAATGAAGAAATGTTAAATGGTGACAAGGGATGACTATGCATAGAATAAAGTCAAAAAAGCTTGAATGTTTTGTCAGGTATTTATTTGCTTTTCAACTTTATTTATTTAACGATAATTAATTATTAGATTTTGTAATAACTTTTTTTTTTTGGTAAACATATTTGTAATAACTTTAGTACTAAATAAATTAATAAAATCAAATAACATTAGTGAAATCTATAATGAAAATCACTGTATAAGCGAAAATGATATGATTTTTCATCCACACTATATTTTCACTCACATGTAAATCTTTTATCTTTCCTCTCTCTCTCTCTTTAAAAAAAATTCTAATGTTTACCAAAAAAAAAAAAATTCTAATAGAAATTTTGCTTATACCCACAAAATATAAAACACGATTGACAGAAATATACACATGCAATCTACATCGTATTTACGTTCAAATGTTTCTTTTTTGTATATATATCTCAAAGGATATTCAAAATTGAGAGAGCCATGCCCCCTCCCCTCACCAGGAAGTTCCACCATTAATGTCTGCAATTGTGTTTTTTTTTGTTACTATTCATCCGTGATAAAATCGGTGATAATTAAATTATTTTTTAATTTTATATAATATATTAAATAATAAACCAATATATATGTTATTTTATTAGCAAATAATATGACAACGTTATCCTTATTAGTTATTATTGCAAAACCATAAAGTAAAAATTACATCATGAGTGGCTTCCCAAACTGTTCGAATTGGACCTGTGAGATTTCGTGTGTGTATCTGGAATTGTGATATTTTGAAGTTTACCCAATTTCTAAAAGTTGCATTACCCATTCCTCGAAGAATATGCATTGCTGAAGCCTGAAGGTGTTTGACCAAACCCAAAGAAGAGAAATTCATGCGGGATTTATGAAATTAATGAAGTGTGGGTACTTAATAAATTTAAGTATATATAGATCTGAGTACGATGACTTGTGAGCAACTATTGGCTGACTGAATCTGATTTAGATTTAAATTTGGAAGGATTGTGACTCAACTAGATCGATGATAGAGAAATAAGAAAATGTTTCAACTTTCAATAATGGAGATTGAGGTTTCAGAGGAGATGAATTGATATATAGATGCAAACAATGGGTCTGAAATAAAGATATCTACTGTTAGGTTTGGATAATAAAAGTGGAGGAATAAAAAAAACTCATGTGAAAATAAAATAGAATGGGAGAAATTGAAGGGGTAAGATATCGTAACAACCAACTAGGGTTACTACCAATCAATTTTACCGTTAGATCGATTATGTTGATCCAACGGTTATATTTATTTCCATTATTGTATGGTTATGATCCTCATATTTAATGTAAAAACATTAAATATGAAAAATTATAACTATACAAAGATGAAAATAAATATAAAGTGTTAAATATGGAGAATCATAATTATACAAAGATAGAAATAAATATAATTGTGGATCAACATAATCGATCTAACGGTGAAATTGATTAATAGTAACCCTAATTAGTTTGTTACAATATCCTACCCCAAAATTAAATTGAAAAAATTTAAATTTTAAGAAAAAAATAATTTTATATTTTTACATCATATTTTAAGAATCGGCAATTATCCCCTTTTCATATACCTACATCCGCCTCTATGTACAATTGTACATCACTATCAAATATAATTGTGGATCAACATGATCAATCTAACGGTGAAATTGATTAATAGTAACATTGATAGTAATCTTAATTAGTTTGTTACAATATCCTACCCCAAAATTAAATTGAAAAAATTTAAATTTTAAGAAAAAAATATTTTTATATTTTTAAATCATATTTTAAGAACGGACAATTATCCCCTTTTCATATACCTACATCCGCCTCTACGTACAATTGTACATCACCATCAAATATCTCACTTATGACTATGTTTTTGCGTAGAGCCAATATCATGGATTTGTTTTATTTGGTGACAGATTAGGATTTTGTTGGACAACTAAGTACGCTCTACACATTTTCATCTTTAAAAATCAAACCAAGAGATCAAACCCAATGATGGGTTAGGTGCCGTATATAAGCACCGGCCATATCCCTAAGAAACAAATTATGGTTACGTGTTAGCAAGACAAAACTACAACATAATGAATTATCTTCCATAAAATATCCTAGTTTCAATGCTGCTTTAGGCCTTATCCTACTGTTCAATTATTTTCATAATTACACCAACAATTGGTCATTTTCTTTAAGTTGCTCAACACTCTGTGTTTCCACATTCATAAACAAAATGATGTAAGTTGCTCAACTTCAATGTCCCTTGATGCCTTATATACTAAGATTCTTTGCATGTTCAAAGTAATCAATTTTTTTATGTCCATGCTGCATGAGCATGACACTGCAATTAAAAGGGTACACAGCATGATTGACAAATTTATCTTAATGTTTTTTTAATTATTGAAATATTAAAAATTGTTTCAGTTTTCTATGTTTTAAATTTTCTTATATTCTTTTTATTCTTATTATATTAATACATTAAAATTTCTCTAAATATAATTATTTATGTAGATAAGTATTTGATAAATAAAAAATTAATATATTAATAAATATATTATTTATAAATTGACATATTAGTATAAAAACATTCATTCTTTTAACTATATATATATATATATATATATATATATATATATATTGTTAAATATTCTTTTAA